AATAATTTGATGGTAGAATCGACCTCGGCACCAATATCATTTATGAATAAGAGGAACATAAGAGGACCTAGAACTGTGCCCTGAGGCACTCCTGATGTGACATGAACCGACGTTGAAGTCTCTCCATCAACAACCACTCGTTGAGTCCTGGTAGTTAACCAAGTCGATATCCAGCTTAGGGTCTCATCACGAATTCCGTAGTATTTCAGCTTACTTAAAAGCCGTTGATGAGCAACCTTGTCGAAGGCCTTGGAGAAGTCCAAAATCATTACATCTGTTTGATGGTTGTTATCTAAGGATCTGGATAGTTCTTCCACCGTAGTGATGAGTTGGGATTCAGTAGAATGCTTTTTGCGGAAACCATGTTGATACTTCACAAGTATATCATTTTCATCCAGATGTTCCATAATGGAGTGAAAGATCACATGTTCCATCAGTTTAGATGTGACACATGTTAGAGATATAGGTCTGTAATTCTCTGGTTTGCATTTATTTCCCTTTTTATAAACAGGTACAATATTAGCAATCAACCAGTCCTGTGGTAATTTGCCTGTGTCATAGGATTGAATGAATATGACACGAAGTATAGGGGCTATTTCCTTTGCATATATCTTCAAGATCCTGACAGGAATTAGATCTGGGCCACATGCTTTATTTGAATTGAGAGATTTAAGCATTCTTTCAATCCCTTCCAACGTAAAAGTTATGTTTGACATCGACACATAAGGACTTGGTCCTTTGTCTGGTATTGCCTCTCGGGTTTCGTTTGTAAATACAGATTCATACTGATTATTGAGGGCCTCAGCTTTTGAAAGGTTGTCTGTTGCAAGTCCATAAGCTGTTTTTAAGGTGGGAATCGTACCCGAGTCCTTCTTCTTGCTGTTAATGAATTTCCAGAATCTTTTGTGTGATTGTTTTTCATCGTCACTGTCCGTAAATATTCCATTTATGTACTCCTCGTATGATTTTCTCATGCTAGCTTTGACAGCCTTTCTTATGTCTCGAAAATCCTGCCAGTATTGTTCAGTGTCAACTCTCTTTGCCTTGTTGTATAATCTTTTTTTCTTTCGAATTTGTCTCTTGATATCATTCGTCATCCATGGTACATCCTGCCATGATGACAATTTTTTCTGCGGGATATGTATGTCCATCAAACGAAATAATTCACTTTTGAAGGTTTCCCAATTTAGATTTACCTCCCTATCGCCTGCAGATCTAATAAAGGAGTCCTTGAATTGAATAATGTCGTCACCCAAACCTTTCATATTGCCTTTTTTATAAACGTATACCTTGCGAGGTTTTTTGCGGGTGTATTTCAATGAGGTGGAAAGGTGAATCGACACTGCCTTGTGATCAGACATCCCAGGAACAATTTCAGATTTGGTGATTTGGTTTGGTATTGTAGTGAACGTGAGATCCAAATTGTTCTTTTCTCTTGTAGCATCACATTGCATCTGTGAGAGCATGTTGTCATGGGTCATGTCAAGGAGAGTTTCATTGAGTCTTCTCCCGTATTGAGGTTTATTTTGTGCAGCATCTATTATAACAGTATTATTCTCCCAGTTAATATGTGGGGCGTTGAAATCCCCACATAAAATAATGTTCGGCAGTGTTGCTTTCTCCGTTAGCTTCTTGAGAGCATCGTTGAGATTCATTAGACTCGTAGGGTCGTCATTCGGTGGACGATAGAAAGATCCGATGTATAAGATTCGATTCCCAGCGAAGATGATTTTGGCCCAAATCGATTCACAGTCGGTGTCTAGGTTGTCCATTTCCATACCCAATAGATCCTTCCGTAATCCAATGAACACACCTCCACCATGTTCATTACGATCCTTCCTGAAAATGTTGTATGTTTGAGGGAAGACTTCGCTCGTAAAGTATTCTCCATTTAGATGAGTTTCTGTTCCACATATAATATCCGGGTCTTCTTGCTCGATAGGGTAATGTGCCCCCTTGATTTAAAACCAATTAAATCAAGGAAATCTCTCGATTGCCAAACACAGTGATAGTGATTATGCAAGTCTATAACTATATGACAAACACATAGGGGACATGACCAAGATAAATCTAACATATTTGTTTCTTCTGATTAAATATTATTTTTATATGTGCAAATTTCAGAAAGAATTCCCCAGTTTCCTAGGTGTTAAAGCTTATATTGCTACACCTAAAGATCTTGAATACCCTTTAGCCAAAGAAGAATACTAACTGGTAACTCATTTTTGCTAAATGGAGGTTTGAAATAAAATAACTTTTGTGGCTGCCTGCATGCATTCCTGCTGAATCTATGTTTCATTATCATTTTACGATTAACGTTCTGATATTTATTTGTCTTATTTTATGTATTGTGTTACTCTCCAACTATTTGTTAATATTGTAATTCTAGTTTAACTCAATAAGACATTAAGTATATATCACAACGAGGTGAAAATCCCTAGGTGGCCGATCCCACATTTGAGGAAATTAGACAAAGTTTTATTGATTAAAAAAAAATTGTATCTCACCTCTTTAATAAATAAGTTTTAGAATGTGTAAACAAGCTTGTTCTCTCTCATTCTCTCTCTCTCTCTCTCTCTCTCTCTCTCTCTCTCTCTTTCCGTCTCTCTCTCTCTCTCTCTCTCTCTTTCTTTCTTTCCCTCTTTCCCTATTTCATATTTTATTACTATGATTCAGGATTAAGAAATTGATTGTTTTACAAAATGTTGAACTTAGTTATTTTTTGCATGGAAATTAATAAAAGTAATTAATTATTCAAAATCTCAGCACAAAGTGAGTTATAGACAGTAACTTTGTTGATAAAAATTTCTTTATTCAAGAAAAGTAGAATACATACGGGGGTAAGCAGAGTGGTGAATAGATCCACTATGGTTTGAGGGCGTAAATAGTTTGACGAAGTAGTGACATAAACATGATAGTAAGAATGTTGCAATTAGTACTAGATCCGTCATATAAAGGCAAATGGCATATTTGGATGAATTTTACTACATGTATTACATCGAATGCATGACTTAGGTTTGTAATCTTCATGAGTTTAGAAATAATCTTACATGATGGGCTGTATAGGGCAAGGTTGATGAGTAAACAAAGAAATACAGTTGTATGTCCTGGATTTTCTAGTGATAGCTTAGGTCACAGATGATTTAATAAACCTGTATACATTAATCTGTAGATTTTGATTCGTATTGATTTGCAAACTGCGACAGCTGTGGCTCCTATTTTCCTCACTCGCCAGGGACTCGGAGTCTTATCGATCAATCATCAACAGATCTTTACCATATAGGCTACTTTAGTATTGTAGGAGTCATTCATCTCTCTTGAATTCTTTCAGCCTCACATCATATTCCGTCCTCTATACTCTCTCTCGTTGCATGGAATATAATCAACAGCAATTATGTGATTGCTGTATTTAATTTACGAAATTCGAAAAGTATCAACAAGATTTTTCTTGTAGAACTAAGAGACTCCAAAGCAGTACTCTTCCTAATCTCACAGTATAATAAACCTTAATTGAATTCAATTGAATTGGAAGATAAAGTACGCTAATCGTAGCAGTAAACCTGAAATCCCCTTCAACTATTTCTAGACATTATAATGATACGTGTATAAAGGGTTATGAATGTCAACAGTTTCATTTGTTTTGATCTAAGTCATAAACTTTTGAGGTTAAAATGCCCTTTGAACTAGTTTTTTTGTTGGTGAAATCAACTAACTGTATATTTCCTCTTTCAAGTGAATATTCTTTTTCATACTAAGCAAGCCTGGTTCTGGTATTGATTGGTTTATTAATGATGCGTTTGTAATGTGTAAATATTTTCACATCATGGAGAGATTGACATAATCCAGATGTTTGGAGAATGTCAAATAGTATTAGAGAATCTCAAATCTTGACAGTCAGCAAAACAAACATGAAATGATTGACAGAATGAATCGATTGGGGTTATTCACACGGACGTAATTTGTCCAATATCACTTCCAGCAAGGAATAATTCTAAATATGATGAAAACTTATTCCACGTAACAATACGAATATCCACTTTCTCATTACATAATGGAATGCCCAAAATGTTGAGAAAACTAAAACAGTGGGTCTTAACAATGGGATTATGGTCGTAGTTTAGGGAGTTTTTTTTTTTTTTTGGGGGGGGGCGGATATGTTAAAGTCTACATGATTCAATACTATTTGTCAGGGGGGTCACGTCAGTTGATAATAATGATGCCAATAACCATTTGACTATAAACTGATAGAAACTGAATTAATTTGTGTTCATAATTGCTGTGCAAACCTCATAAACTGTACGGAAATAAAAAAAAATATATGAAACGTTCCAACATTTCAAATAGTCAAGGAATGACATAAAAACTTATATAATTATATGGGGTTACTATTTGGGCTATCTTAACTTAGGTCTTCAGCAAAGCCTGATGAAATGATCTAGAACTTCATGCTTTAGTTGATAATGGTTATAAATGGACAATTGATATTTCTTTCACATGTCTTTAAACAGTTTTGGTGTAAAATAATTCAGTGGTGTGTTATAATATTCAATCATTTTCAATGACTATACTCAGGGAATAATATTTTTAGAGGAGAAACACACATTTTTTGTATAAATCGGTGTCATAATGCAACATTGCATGCTGATGGGGCTTTGCTTCACAACGGAGCATCAATTTTTCAAAATATTTGCCTAAAAGTATAGCATTCAACCTGAAGAAAGGAACAGGGAGATGCACATGAAACGGATTTCTCAATTTTTGTGTGTGTCCATGTGCCCCCCCCCCCCCACACCCTCTACCCGCCATTGATTTACTGATTTCATGGAGCAAACATAATGCAGTGGAGACAGGCTCGACTGTTTGGGTTGAAGGAGGAGTGCAAAATAGAGGTGAGCAAAGAAATATGAGATGACCTACACGTATGTTCAAATCCTAAATCAGACATTATTCTTTACAGAGACAGAGACAGACATCGTCAGAGACATAGAGAAGAATCACGATTGATTAGGATGATTCGACGAAGCAATCATTAATCTCTGTCAGCTTCATCTAAAAACATTCTATAGATGGTGTGACTGGATAGAGAGCAACATGGCGTTCGTTGTTCTCTTCATAGGCTTATTTCTCCCAGGTTTCGTATATTCTGGTAAGTTCTCGTGATCCATTTTAGAAAACGGCAATTCACGTTTCTCATAACAAATGCAGTTTACTTGAGTGTCTACATAGCTATATATTAAACATGTATAACTTTATATAAAAAAACATCCTTTTGATGGTTGTGAACGTTAAGGTGACTGCTTATTTTTTTGTTAGTTTGTGTGCTTGATTGCTTATATCTTATATTGGCTAACTGTAGTTTATTGGTTAGTCTGATAGATTGAGTGGTTTATTGGCTACCTGATAGATAATGTGATTGGTTTATTTGTTGGTTGGGTGGTTGATTAATTATACTTGAAACTTGAAACTAGATGATTGAATGACCGGTAGATTTACTGACTATTGACTGGATGATCGATTGATTGATTGATTGATTGATTGATTGATTGATTGATTGATTTGTTTATTTGTTGGTCGGTTGAACTTTGGTTGGTCATGTTGATTGATTGATTTTGACCATTAACATCTCTTTCACGTTCTTTTACTGAAGACGGAATATAATTACTGCTTCTCATATTTTTCATTCATCAACTTACATATACCTTGTTTGAGAACAAGATTTTATGGGTAAAAATAATATTATTAATTGCTGAATTAATGCTATATTGCTCGATTGCTTGAAGTGATTGATCAGTCGATATTTAAATCATCAGATAGTTGAAAAATCTAGATTTTGACTATTTATATTTTTTCTCCAAAACTAGTGTAGGTAATGTGAACTAGTACTGTCATCCTTGGTTCTGTTTATATAATGGAAACATCAATATACAAAATCATATCAATGCAATATCATACAACATTTTCTGCTTCATTTGACAGCAATCGAGGCACGTAATAAGGGGCATATGCTCTATTTTTCACAAAGTAAGTTAGTTCTATAAAACAGTTCCAATTAGAAAGAAACAAACACAACACGAAGTTTGGAATTGTGCTACTGCGTGGTTAGGGAGGGTGTGGGGGACAATGTATTTTTAATACAAGATTTACAATCTGCTTTCTACGTCCTTTTTATTGCATTTATATTTGTTTCATCTTTATAAAAACTAGCTCCACCCCCTCCCCCCCCCCCCAAAAAAAAAAAAAAAAAAATCAATCAATCAATCAATCAATCTACTATGTCCTCGAAATTATGTTTCTCTTTCCACACAGGTCTGGTGATCGCCCCTCTGGATCTCATCGATAACTGTCAATCATTTGAAACCGGTTCGGATCTGAGCTACAATTGGGTGCTTCCTCGTCTCAACAATGACGTGAAGTTTATCAAGTTTGAAGTGCGGGCGGAGCATGGAGCTCTGATCGGCCTGTCAAGGCAGAACATGGTCTTGGATTCAATGTATGAGATCGGTGAGAATGGGTTTGTTTTCGAAGATTGATGGAAAGGATGGAGGGGAGGGGGTAGGTCATTAATAAGATTGGTAATGACTAAAAGGTTCTTTGTCCCATTTGCAGGTCAAAAAAAATTAAAAGAAAAGAAAGACAATGCTTATTTAGAACTTCCCTCAAAACGAAAGGGTTTGAAAATGGCTTTTTTGTGTGTGGAAACAATGACACTGAGATAACGAAAAGACAGGACGCGGAGCATGGAGCTCTGATTGGCCTCTCATCGAAGCAAAAATACTATTGGACCAAATGCATGAAATAGACCGATTTACTAACATATTCAAATTTATGGATGTTTCTTTCCTGGGGACCTAGTGACGAGTTATTCAATTGACAAGTTATAAATGAATGGAACTACAATACTCGGAATTCAGTCTGTATACATTGCTTGTTGCTATGTCGGGCAAGCCTCGGTCACACATTCAGGTTATTAAGAAAAACCTCCGTTTAAAAAGTATGCGTATATACAATTTGGTTAAAGGTAATACAAAGTTTTGGGAAATTTTGAAAATTGGCTAGATAGTGATTCTTTGCAATTTTGATATATTTGGATGCCCATGTGGATGTATTATAAACACTAGAAAATTTAGGCCTTAAAACACTTCTGCTTTCGATAAAATTTGAATATCAAAATTTACCGGTGCTCCCGGTAAATTTTTACCTACGGCCAATGGTGGCTGCGACCATGAAAATCTCAGAATGTATAGTTGTGATATATAATTTTCAAACGGGAATAGCCAATCGGTCGATTATAGTCAAGAAACATTGTTTTATAGCTAAATTAATATTTTGACCTTGAGAGGGAGCTATACAACATAAAGAGTTAATTATTTACAATTTCATCACTTTAGACTCGATTTCAACCGCGACAACGATCACTGAATACTGTAAGATCGCATATGCTTCCAATATGTTCATTTGAACCAAATTCATGACTCCATACCAAAACTTTGTATTACCTTTAAGATTCATATTGCCTGAAAGTGAATGACAACAAACTAAAACAGAAACACAGAGAAGTTACAATAAACCTAAATTTATAGTTCAATTTCATTTTCATTTTCATTTTCCACTCATCGTATATATTGCTTTCATGAATACACCTATCATATATATATATCAAATACTTTCACATTTGCAATAACACTGATCGTCGATTATACTTCTAAACATTTCAGAAATTGGAGCCGACTTCAATTCAAGGACGATTATTCGCCGCTGCCACCAGTGCACTGCAGCTGCAACCGACAATAAACCGGGTAGATTGAGTATAACCGAACCGCGGGTGTTTTGGATACTTTCCTACCAGGGAATCGTGGCAGTCGGTTCAGACAGCTCTTTGGAACCGTTCTTAGTTTGGATAGACCGACATCCGCTTGAAATCAATCACATCGGTTTCACTTCAGACGGTGTCGGGGGCTGGTGGAAGTTTTCCAAATATCCAGGTGACATGTAGTTCACTATCTTAATCCAAATGTCATAATCGCACTTTGTTTCTTTGTTTTAGTTTTCTGTTCAAATATTCTGTCCGTGATCATGGTATCGTTTCTTATCAATTTATTGTTGTATTTATTTTAAACCTAACCTTTTTATATTTCATTATTTAAAATGGTTTATTTCATTAAAAAACATTCGCGGCCCGAGAGCCGAATTGATTTTTTTTTTTACAAAGTATACATCATTGACAAAGTAAAATTACACGTAAAACACCATGCATGGTAACATTATGATAGAAAAATTGCAATTATTTTTTATACATATAATATAATATATAATTGTGCTTCTACGACACCTGCTACGGCTACTACTACTCCGCGGCAATTCAGTACATTTGGGTACTTGGTGAGTAGCAAAATTGTCCACATGTTGATTTACAATTTGAATGTATGTTATACGAGTATAAGCTGTAAAACGGAAGTTCTTTTAAGCAGCACATGTTGGCACGGCAAGAAACAAACTTTCATTCCTGTAAATTGGTATTCAAAATAATGATTAAATATGTGGCATTACTCTAGTTACAGAAGCAAAAATTTCTTGAGAGATTTTTTTTTTTTTCATAGGTTTTTATTCGTTTCTCTCAAAGAAAATTGTACATTTATAACATAATACATTGGATACAAAATAACAAAATAATTTAACATAGTTCTTTATAAATTTACCAATGATCTTTTACATTTACATACAAAAGTTACACCTCTTCATTTTCCTTTGGAGACAAAAAAAAAATTATATATATAAAAAAGGGAAAAAACACATAACATGTACAACAGTATACAAAACACACGCTAACATAGAACGAGCAAAAAAAAAAAAAAAAAAAAAAAAAAAAAAAAAAAAAAAAGATACCGGCATCTCCAGTCGGGCCATGGTCATCATGGACAGCTTCGTCAACGACATGAAATACCGATATTTCAATCGAAATTATTCACACGAAACTGCTTTCAAATCTTTACTTTGGTTCTTCCAGGTACATTTACATCCACAACGACAGGAGACAACTGCGTTCTGTATCCATTCGTAAAGCTTCCAAATGGAAATTTTGAGATTGAATTCTCAATTAAATGGACCGGCACAGCAGCATTGGAACTAGCCAAAGAACAAAAGTCTAAGAACTGCTACTACATTGGTAAGCATTAAGGCCTAGAATGCAATATCTGTGAAACACCCCCTTGTATCCCCCTATTTTTTTTTTTTTTTTTTTTTTTGTTGGGGGGGGGGGGGGGGCTCTTATGCATCGTGCGCAAACTTTGAAAACCTATGCCCCTTTTACGGCAATTAGGAAAATATTATTTTTTTGTTTTATTATTAGATCATCTAGCGACGCTGCCGAATGAGATACTACTTTAAATCATCTGTGATAAGGAGAGGTGGAGGATGTTCAATTTAACAAATTCATATTTCAAACTGAAGAAAATTCTAACGATTACATCTCTTTAAACTTCATACTATAGCTGAAAGGTATTATGAATAATTGTACATAGTCATTATAAGAATATGGCGATCTGGTGATTTTACATAAACAAACGTATTTTGGTGTGCTGATATAATATTGATGTTAAAAAAATGATGAAAAGATACGTTTAAGCTATTAGTCAGTTAGATTGGGAAAAGGCATTTGATGCACACGACACGGGAGGGGTAGTGTTTTGAACCCGAAAATCGAACCAAAATCTGAACAACAAATTAAACAATATTGGTGGTCATTTTCACTGCGCCATAATTTTTTTTTTTAAAGACCATGCATAGCATGTATAACATACGAAAAATGACAAAAACCAGCTCTGTGAAAAGAGATGGGTCTTCAGTTGTTGTTGTTTGTTGTTCCTTTTAATATAGGGGGACCTTTATTGTTCGAAGGCAAAAGTTCGATAGCTGAATTTGCATTGCGAATAAGGTAATGCTACAAAATACTGCTACAGGTAATATTATCTTTAAACTTTACATTTATTTACAAAGTTCTTACTCATGCGGAAAGCGACCTCTCGGCCGAGATCCGTTTCAACGAACAAACCTTGATCTCAACCACCTACTCGCCCAGTCAACCCATCGAAAGTGACAACCCCGCAGACTTCTACGTCAGGGTGGTGAATAATAATCTTCAAATTGGTGAGCAATACATGGAGCCCTTCTTGGAGTTGCCCGGAGTAAATGCGACTTTCATTCGGCATCTTGGTTATTCTTCGTTCATCTCCGATTCAGCTGACTGGTATTTCCCAGACATGATTCCAGATGTTATCGGTAAATATAGACACTTTCATTTTCCCAATCTTTCATTTTATTCCCTCTCTGTCTTTTTCTCTCTCTCCATCTATCTCTATCCTTTATCAGCCTTCTTTCACTCCCCGCCACTCTTGCTCCCTCGTTTTCTCTCTCCACCGTTGTCCCCCCCTTCTTAATTCCCACCTTATTGTTATTATAATCAAGATAAAAATATTTTCTGGATCTCTTACTTTAAAAATCTTATTCTTCATTTATATTCTTTTCTATACTTGCTTTTTCTCCTAACTGGATCGTTGTAGAAGGTTTCGCGTCACCCCGTCCCCAAAGCGAGCGAGGAAGGAAGACCCGTATTGTCTTTAACATGTTATGCAAATGCAGAGCGGTTTCTAACACTTTGTTTCCACAATATTGACCCAATCCAAAATAATGTTTTAGTACAATGTATTACCAAATTTCTCTCACGGACCCCTAGAGATAGCTTGCGGCACCCCGGTTGAAAAAACGCTGTACTCAATCATTTATCAGATGTGACTTTGAGTTCCCTCGTTAATTCCTTATTGAAAACGTTGGAGTTGTTATATAGACTTTCGTTTATCTAGTTTTTATCTCGCAATATTGTTTTGTATTGGTTGCTACAGGTTACACAGAGTCGTTATCAGAAGCAGAAGACTGTCTGTGTTATCGAGGTAAGGTAGTTTATGTTCATGAATGATGATGGTGATGATGATGATGATGATGATGGTGTTGATGATGATGGTGATAGTGATGATGATGGTGATGATGATGATGGTGATGATGGTGATGATGATGATGATGATGATGATAGTGATGATGATGATGATGATGATAGTGATGATGATGGTGATGATGATGATGGTGATGATGGTGATGATGATGGTGATGATGATGATGATGGTGATGATGATGATGATGGTGATGATGATGATGATAGTGATGATGATGGTGATGATGATAATGGTGATGATGGTGATGATGAGGATGATGATGATGGTGATGATGGTGATGATGATGATGGTGATGATGATGATGATGGTGATGATAATGATGGTGATGATGGTGATGATGATAATAATAACAATATTTATAAACACTTGTCGTAAAAGAACATTCAAAGGTTCAGTCAAGCTCCTCCTGCGAAGTCACATTTGCCGAAATAGGATATAATGTTTTCTAAACCCATTTCAGACATACAGGTGTTTTATACGGATGGAGAGAGCGCATCTTTGTTCGCCATTCATGGATACTTAGTGGGGGAGTATCAGCTTGAGTTTAAACTGAAAGCGGAAGGGCGAGCCAGGATCATGCTCACAGATTCAACCATGGGATCAACTGATCGTTATAACATCGGTAAGAAAAGGGTTTTGGAAGGTGGTGAAATATAGTATGTTTTGATTACTTTAAATAGGGACAGTGTTATAGACATGTAAAATCAGTGGCGGCTTTTTTAAAGGGTACAACTGGTTGTGCCCCCTTTTATAAGTAAATTAGATCCAACAGATAATGTATTCCCTTTTGCTCTCTGCGGCATCTTTAAATGATCACATCCCGATGTTACCTCAAAATGTATAGCCTTCCTTTATTTTCTTCATTTTTAACATTCTATTTTGATTAATTTTTTTCTTCATTCAAGCTTGCTCGTTGGGGATTTGGGGATTTTTCCCCCTTAGTACGGAATACTGGATCCGCCCAACCGTAAAATTATCTGTTAATGAGGCCCAAGTATGAATATAATAATGTACGTGTGACTTGATCAGAAATTTATCTGATTGCTGTTGTTTTGTTTTTCAATCGGAAGGGGGGGGCTGGGGGCCTCTAAACAAAATTTCCCACACTTTTTCCCAACTCTAAAAGTTTGAATTCAAATGTGAAAATATAAATTAGTTACAAAATAAAATGGTACGTAATTAGTGTTAGAAAAAATGTATGAGGCACCAATATATTTCTATGAGGGATGTAATTTGATATTTACTGCAATCTGTTTTTAAATTTGAATGTGAAGGAAGAAATGATGAAATCGTTTTTTGCGTTAAAACTTTCCTCTTTAGTATTCGATGATGGTCATTCGTCGGGTAATAATCAGACCTCATACATCTCACTGAACGGAGAGGTTCTTCAAAGCATTCATAACGATTTACTGAGTAGTTCTACCAACAGGCCTTTCTATATCAGGTAATATACATTACGTAATGTGATACCACTCAGTAAGTGATATGAAGGAAACTTGAAAACAGAAATATTTTTTTTATTAAAGCACTGACTGTTAGAATAATGTAGAGTAAGCAGCCAGCATATAGGCGTAAAACCGGCGCTATGCAAGAAACCATCGTCATCATAATAATCACCATCATCATCATCATCATTATCATCCTCATCGTCATCATCCTCATCATCATCACCATCCTCAACTTCATCATCCCCATCATAATTAATCGACATTTTCCTTTACTAGAGTATACTAAAGATCCGTCGGTGTCAGAACGATATTGTCATAAATCTTTATGTATTAAGGATATTTTTGTTGCTGGTTAAAATATCATAGATTAAAATATCAGAGGTTAAAGGACCTGCTTTTTTTGGTTAGCAACTGACATTTTTGCACCGAACCATTAATACGAGGTGAATCATTCATTTGCGATCAATTAAACAAATATGCAATTAAAGTGCTTTATGATTTGAAAATTAAAGGGGTTAGATTATCATATTTAATTACACGCTGTTGATATATTATTCCTTCTTCTTCCCAAGGTACACTCAAGAGAAACTATCAGTCGGTCACGAAGGTAACCCTCCTATGCTTACCGTGGAGGATGTCCCCTATGATGCTGTACAGTATATCCGCTTTCAGACTGAGCATGGCGAGAAAGGACGATGGACATTCTACGATGTACAAGTTGAAAGCACTGGTAAGCTATCTTTATTTTGAAATAAAAAGTGATTTCAAGACATCTACCCCAGAATACCACCTTGACAATTACCCCCCCCCCCCCTAGGACAGCTACCCGGACGAGCAGGCCGGGTCCTAGGAAGTGCCCAAAGCTGCATCCAGACACGTACCCTTTGGATAATTTCATATACCTGGATAAGTACCCAGGGATATTAACATTTACCCGGACAAATACCCCTGGGACAGTTACATGTGCCCTCCCATAATACTCTCACTCCATAGTACTCTAAATAAGAAGGAGTGTTCGCTATCGGTGTAGTTTACCTGTATTAAAACAAAACAATTTCAGGAATAACATGCCCCCCAGACGTCATAAAATCTATGAAAATATTAAACAAATGGTAGAATACACTCTTCCAGGAAGGGGGGAACTGTCCCAATGCCACTCATATGATGAACTTATTGTGGAACAGAGTTATGTATAATTATTATGAGATGGAGACTATAATGTTTAAACTGTTCACATCTTTTCACAACTCTTCACATCCTGTTCATCATTTTTTTGTTGGGTGTAAGCCACAAATAATTATGTTTAAATAATATGTTCATCATGTTAATAAGGTGACTTAATAGTAAATAAATGTTAAAATTATGTGTTTGAACATTTTTATCCTACATTTTTAGTTGGTCTTGAGCCGGTACCACATGACACCCATGTCTACTCATACCACACCTCTGGCCCAGCTCAACCCATCTATCCATTCGCACCGTTATCATCCGAAAAGTTTGAATTTATATTCGACGTTCAGTCAGGAGGAAATGCGTTCGTTTCACTTTCACCTCTACCAATAGATCAGAAAAGTTACATGTTCGGTGAGACTTTTCTCCTTTTTCATTTTAGGGTTATGATTATTGCTCATACTGTATGTAATAATATGTGACTGTCCGTTTGGAAATGAAATGAACTAAAATGGACAAGTTTTCTCCTGTTACACATTTACCTCATTACGGTGATTATAGTGTGGATAGATTGACCCTTCGATCAGATGGTTTTATAATAATAATAGGGCTCCATGTGAGGTCTGTCACTTCTTGACAACACATTATCTTAGACGTTATAATAAGACAAACAAAATATGTCCTTAAATTGAATATCGTAAAAATATATATTGCGATATAATGATATTCACCCTCACTTACATGTAGAACTTTTGGCTATTGCAGTTTGGCGCAATTTCGTCTCACTTCAAATTTGATTCCACTTATTTCTATATGTTGTATCTCGGTAAAAATATATCTGTAATCAAATGAAATTAACACTAAGCTGGTACCTAAACACATATTCCTACATGTATATCATTATCTATCATATATCCCATGTAACAAATCAAAATCATGGACATCATAATTGTAAAACAAAAACGGTCGTTTCTTGTAAGTTGAGGTCGTTTTTCATTGTGCAACAATAATTATGATACTTTATTTCTCCATTATGTCTAATTGGCTGGCAGTTTTTGATAGGATTGCCAACGAGCAAACTTCTTCTGTTGTGCTATGTGACCATCAAGTCTTTGACGAAGACAAAGATAGCCTTCTTTCAAAGAATGAGTTCACTAAAATATACATCAGACGACAGGAGTCGGTCCTGTTGGCGGGAAAAGTAGGAGAGGATCCTATCCTTGAGGTAAGACTACTAAAAAGGGAAGATAGTAAAGGAACTTTGTAAATAAGAGATGAGTATATGAGGCGAAATAGCCCAGTGGTTCGTGCAATGAAAGTACCGGTTCGAAACCTCGGGGGCGGCACTGGATCACTTTGAAGGGTTGTCGGATCACGTTAGCTCAACATTTTCAGACAAAATTGCCGACGGAAAAATCTTGAACGAGGTAGGATGCCACAAAAACTCACCCCACCCCACCGCGATGCAAGTCGATGTGCAGAACTTGTTCCTAAATTAAGTCCCTAAGATGATACTTCAAACTTAAGGACTTAAACCTTATGTCGTGGAGTTCATAATATACAACGAAATGCAACTGCGATTCAGCTTTTTCATAGTGTAGGCGCTGTGCTTTGTGAGGGGCCAAAAACCTCTCCCCTACAAATAATTTCTAGATGACCGATATCCGAGCAGCTGCCTCGGGCAGCCCGGTGATCTTTCACTCGATTTTTTTGGGGAGCGAGGGTCTTATATTGTTCATTATAATGCTCGTTACCTTTGCTTGCTCTCAAGCTTTAGAAACGATAAAGTTAATATCAAGGGCAGAGACATCAGCCCCTTTGGATGTTGTGCCCATACGCCTTGTACATCTTGGACATAGAATACGGACACTTTACGCTATTAGTTTGAGATCCGTTCTTTTGGCTATTTTGATACACATTACTTTCTCTATACAGATACAAGGTGTGGTAGAACCACCGCCACGTTTCATCAACTTTGGTAATCTGAACGGAGATGCCACACAATGGCGCTTCTACAACGTTAGCCCGGCGGCTCGAGGTAATCAAAATTATCGATGAGCTGATGAAATACCGACGTATGTGTCTCACTAGCCTTTAAAGGATCTATGTTTTTTAAATCATTAATCGGTGACGGATAATGTGATGCAAGATAAAGGGGGTTTATTTGACTATAACTAAAGAATTCTAAAATTCTGAATACATATCAGATGTCCAAATTCACCTGGAACTTCTATATATTATTTTTTTCTTTCACTCTGTATTTAATACAACAAAATAATCAAAATCACATAATTATTATCATTATATCAGTCCACCAACACATTGACCTTGTCTGTGGCGGATCCAGATTTCTCTGTTCGGGAAGGGGTGGGGGTAGTGCCCCCAATCCATCATTACTTTAAAAAGTAATCCAATCCGATGACCATGGACGATGATTTTTTTTCTTCAAATACCCCTCTGCTGAAATGAGCTCTCATAAGTCAAACAAAACTAATAGCTTTAAATTAGTAAGTGGATCACTTCCGTAAATTATATAATTTCACTGCAAATTTGACTTCATGTACTTTCATACTTGTCATACATTCCATTGCTTTCACAGGGGAGGTATCCATCTACCTACAGGCCTTAGGTGCCCCTGTCTATGATCTTCAGATCCCACCTGGGGACTTCATGTTTCTATTTTCTGCTATGGTGACAGACGTGACCTACCTCTTCTTCTCATCCGAACCCAAATATGAGCAAGGAGTAGGATATAAGCTCAGTAAGACAAAAGTTGAATAATTTGGAAGGAATAACCGGGGCCCTTTCCCGGTCGATTTTGCTTCGGCGCCTATAATACTCATGTATCAATGCATTGTTTAAAAAAATCAAGCCTGTCGATATTACCTTACTACATTCCTACAATGTCAAAGCTCTGAGCTAAATTACTGCAAGTGAAATTTAATTTTGAAAAATAAAATCAGGTGACAAGTAACAGTTACAAGTGACACGTGACGCTGGGCAGCGTTCATCTATTGTGTTGTAGTCGATTCATACCATGATGCAACTGTCCATTAACTTTGTGATTTCACGAGGACGTAATATATTAATTTTATTACAAATTCAATATCGGTTCACATTGCACAGCATGTTTTTTGTTTTTGTTTCATTCCATTGAAGCTTTCGCAAACGCTGATAGCGTTGGTACCAGCCGTGTAGATGTTGCCTTCAATGGCGTGGCCATCGCTTCTTACTCGGGTAAACGTCTCAGTCTGGGTGACCGAGCCTATCTATTTGTCCAGCTCGTCGATTCGGCACTCAGCATCGGTATCAGCGGCGAGGATGCACCTCTGCTTCATCTCCTCGACGTCGATCGCGACAGTCTGAAGTTCATCGGTCTTCAGCGGGCAACCACTGGTATAGACATGTGGACGTTCTTCGGTCTTAAATACATAGGAGAAAAAGGTGGGTTTTATCCTCAGTCCCAGGAAACGTAAAGTGATACCGATGTTTGAAAACTTCCACTCCGGGACTTCCAAAAAGACACTAATTTTTGGAAAGTGTGGTAACATGTTTTGTTTGCTGGTGTGCCAATAAGAGCGGCATCGTGTTTTAGCATTCATCTTAATTTAGCCTTCTAATCCCCCTTTCCATTAGGAAAATTGGTTAACCTGTAGTTCTATGCGAAATGTGTCAGATTGTAATCAGACATTTCGTCTGTACTCCTCATTTTGTAATCATAATAGTAGTTTAATTTTCTTCTCAATAAGTGAAAGATATTCGTTGTAAAATCACGTCAGTTCATTATTATTAAATTCAATTGTGATTTATTGAATACCTTGCTGTAGGTTATGATATATAAAATCATTACGAAATCACAAGCTTTTTTGTTCTTCTTTCTTATACGCAATGTTCTTAAAAGGACACGACGATAGAGTTAAGGTCACTGACAAACCGACACCAGTTCCAGATAAAGCACCAGAACCATCGACTGAACCACGACAACCAATTATCACTCGGGAACCTCCTCCGGAAGGCAATGCGACTGGGATAGACAGCGGTGCTGGCTCCTCTGGCAGTGGTCAACCGGGCGGGACAATCATCGATGCAGTTGGTGACGGAAACACAGTTCCCGCTGTTGAGCCGCCAAACTATCATCCACCAATAGAGATGTCAGGTATATGCTATTATCGTCAAGAATCAACGCGGTTGTGGTTACTCGACTAAGGATAGGTTGTGTCCCGGCGTCGTATACGTTGATAACTACTCCACATTTTCGGTCATGCCGAACAGAATGATATACATGCTTAGAGCAAACGGCAAAGGTTTAACGAAACGGTGTATCTGTTTGTTAATCCAATGTTACTATATTGTAACTCTTTAGTTTGGGCCTTCTTAAATGTCACATGGCACACATTTCGATCACCCATTGTTGTTATTACTAATTATGGTAATAATAAATTTACCACAATCATCGCCGATGTGGGCTATAACTCGGGCGTAATTTCGTATCGATGATCTTGGGGCTACTTTCGTCATGAGACGCTTGTGGCGAGGGAAGAAAGTGATCATGAAATATATTATGAGGATGTAATGTCTTATCTACGCGAAAGTGTAATTTAATACTCAACTGAGATTATTCATTTTTAATGATTTGCTGTCACCAGTTAAAAACTTACATGCTATAAAATTTGATTATGTGTTTGTTCATATTGACCTTCTTTAGTTTACATATTCATTTCTTCGTTTTTATCTCGATTTTTATGACCATGTATCTTGTTATATTTGATTACTGTCTTCATTTTTATCGAGGAAGCAGTCATGTACTGTACGTTTTTTTAAACCATCTTACATCCCTAGCCATGTTTGGTTTTTACTGAATGTCTAAAGAAAAAAAAAAGGATTATTTAAATGTTGGTAATGACATTATTTAATTTCATAACATCCATAACGATCAATTGCGTTGATCTCTTGTTCCAGGCGATATAGTGAACGTAACAACGGACGGTGTCTCGGGCTACATCAACAAGATTGGGCCTCTCGATCTAGCGATTGGGAGCAGAGGCCAATTTTCAGTAAAAGCTGAGAAAAATGTTGCCGTGGCTCTTATCTCTCACAATGGATCCGACACCGACTACTATGAAATGCGTAAGTATCGTTAAACACTGGTACATGGCTAAATTTCATCCGGATCATAGAGACACCCAGCCCCCCAACCCCATCCACACCCAAATCTTGAAATTCAGTTTAAGGAAGGAAAACATATGGAATGAGGGAAGAGAAAGAGAGAGAGAGAGAGAGAGAGAGAGAGAGAGAGAAGAGGGGAGACTATAGAGGAGAGGGAGGGGGCGGCAAAAAAGAATAAGGAAAACAAAATTATTTTTCCTACATTGGACCATCATGGTAATCGTAGACCTTGTACCACCATTGACTTCTACCCTCCCCCTCTTACCTGCACTCGCGCTATGCCACTGGCGTTATCGAGAATCAATGCGTTGGTAATAGTGATAGAAAATTACAACGTTATTACGAAAAAATAATAGCTAAACGAAGTACTCAATAATTAGTCATCCCCTAACCACATGTTATAACGGTAAATGTTCTATCTTTTTACATGTAATGATAAATTTGTCATATTCCTCTGCAATATACTTTGGTATATGTGCCCGTAGAAACAAGGATGTTACATCAGCAAGACGGTGCAGCATATCCCCCGCCGTTAAATGTGTAACACTAACCAAATTCCTAACTTCAGAACTTCAGTCCTATATCATAAACTATAGGCCCTACCAAGCTTGTAACCCTGACTTAATCTAAAGCTCAGTCATAATCCAAACCTTTATCCTGCAATTTTCACCAACCCTGAAATCAAATGTCGTTGGAGCTAAATGTTGGGTCACCATTCGCCAAAATGTATATGCTATATTTGCTATTAGTAGGACAATATGACAAATAATGTGTATCACTTTTCATCCTCGCAGTAATTGGTACCGATGGGAACTTGAAGACCGAACTGAAGAGATGCGTTGATTCGGTTTGCTATACCGTAATGAGTGAGGACACTCCGTATATTCTCAAATCTATCAAGAAAACCCTCTTTTTCATCGAAGTTATTCCTTCCATCGACGGTTTATTGAAGGTAAGCGTATTTAATTCGAAATTGAAGGTCATAGGCTGCCCTTATCTTATAAATAATTGCGATCATTACAAAGAGGAGCTAATATTACATAAATACCATATTTATTCATGGCATAAAATAATATTTGATGTTTTCCTTGCAGATACGACAAGGTAATAATGACGTCTTAGAGAAGTCACTAGGTTGTAATTAGATCCGATTTTTTTATCTGCAATAGACAATTATATAAGAATAGAAATAAAGTAATACAAGACATGAATTGCACGATGTGAAATAAAGCCTTTTTATACGCCATATAAGTTATAAGCCTCTTTCTTAATTGAGGGTATGATTGAAGATAGTTTATTTAGATACGAGTTGGATTAGGGTATCGTCTGATATAATAATAGCAAGCGCCATTTTGCGATCTTTTGAAGATTCTGGTCAATAATTTGTCAGAGGTGAAATGGGATGTGGGCATAATTATATCGATGAATAAAATTTCTTCATACCGAAGATTTTATAGTGTGATGTTTTCTTTATATATCTGGCTAGGTATATATGAACGATGCTTTAAGCATAGAAATTACAATGTTGCTATCTTATGAAGATGAGATCAATGCATTGTCGCCAGTTGGGATACAGACATAACTATATCGATGAGATAAATTCATATTTCTTCCCTGAATAAGTTGAAAGATGACTCAAATGTGTAATGTTTTCCGTATAGATCAACCTGGGGACGGTCGGCATCTTTAGATATAGCAAACGCCGTGTTAATTCTATCTTTTGAAAATTCATTTCAATTGTCACTATAGGAGATGTATGAAACTATGCATACCAGTGTTGATGAATATATTGCTTTTGTTTTGTATTTTATTTCCTTGATTATATTAGCGCATAACTTTTTTTTCAATTGGTTAGATACGGCTGGGTAAATTGGGAGGTCTTAAGAAATTATTGAAAGCACTATTTAACTATCTCATGAATATTCATGTCACCGAATTAATGCAATATATAAGTGGAAAATGCGGTATAGGCCTAGTTTGTCTTGTAGAATACGCTAATTATCTGAAAGTTAGATTCTTTTCCCTTTTTTTTATAGATACGGCTTGGTGTGTGCATTGTCTAGGGTGAAGATCATTAATGCAAATACATATATAAGCCAAAGTCAAACAACGCGGAGAGGAAATATATTGTGTGAAGCATTTTTTTGTTCATAGTAAAACAGCTCATGCACGATCTTAACCGATATATCTTTTAACTGTTTAGATTCGTCTGGGAAAGGGAGATGTCTTGGATATAGAAAGCACTACGTTGTTATCTTATGAAGATTCGGACCCACTGAAGATTGAATACGTCGGAATCAGAACCTATGAGGTGTCAGGAGATTGGACCATTCATCACAAGATTTTACTACCAGGTTAATATACGGTTAACAAACCAAGAGTCAGTAGCGATTATAGAGGTGATTTGTGGGGGCTCCGAACCCCCTCCCCCCTCCCCCAACCGACAAAAAGATATATAAATAAAAAATAAAAAATAAAATAATAAAAAATAAAAAATTATATTAATATATTATATATATAGATACAAACATAACAATTAAATAATCCCTCCCCCGAAAGAGTCTTTCTACAACTGCTCCTAGCTGTCATAAGGTTGATATCAACCGCAACTATGTCCATACGAGATAGGAGACTGTAAATGTGCTGCGATTGTTTAGAGGAATTGCGATTGATCCGAAACAATCGCAATTCTTTATAAGACTGATCTGATGCCTTCCAGTCAAAGTGTACTACTGCCGCTACTGTGTGGGACCAGTATATCCATCCATGAATTTAGAGTAGATCTAATCCACTTAGATATCAGTCTACTATGTTCAGGGGCGTAAATCCGTACCGAGGAGTGGGGGGGGGGGGATGATCGGCGATAGCCATCACATACTAGTACGAGCACACGTCCACACTAATTTACGCAAGCGCGCGATCGCGCACGCACAAAGTTAACACACAACACACACACACATACGCACACACACAAACGAACAAACAACAATATTAGAGAAAGAAGACGATTCGTTGTTCCGTTCTCGACTCTTAATCCTCGTCTGAATTCAGTTCCCCCCTCCCCTCCGCGCGAAGCGCGGAAGCTTTTACGTTTCATTAAATCATTAGGGCAAGAAGACGATTCGTTGTACCGTTCTCGACTTATAATCCTTATCTGAATTCAGTTTTTCCCTTCCCCCCTCCTGCGCGAAGCGCGGAAACTTTTACGTTTCATAAAATCATTGGAGAAAGAAGACGATTCGTTGTACCGTTCTCGACTCTTAATCCTCGTCTGAGTTTAGTTCCCCCCCCCCCTCCCGCGCGAAGCGCGGAAGCTTTTACGTTTCATTAAATCATTGGAGAGAGAAGACGATTCGTTGTTCTGTTCTCGACTGTTAATCCTCGTCTGAATTCAGTTCCCCCCTCCCCTCCCGCGCGAAGCGCGGAAGCTTTCACGTTTCATTAAATCATTACGAAAAGAAGACGATTCGTTTTACCGTTCTCGACTTTTAATCCTCATCTGAATTCAGTTTTTCCCTTCCCCCCTCCTGCGCGAAGCGCGGAAGCTTTTACGTTTCATTAAATAATTAGAGAAAGAAGACGATTCGTTGTACCGTTCTCGACTCTTAATCCTCGTCTGAATTCAGTTCCTCCCTCCCCTCCCGCGCGAAGCGCCTAAGCTTTTACGTTTCATTAATTCATTAGAGAAAGAAGACGATTCGTTGTACCGTTCTCGACTTTTAATTCTCATCTGAATTCAGTTTTTACCTCCCCCCCCCCTTTCCTCCCGCGCGAAGCGCGGAAGCTTTTACGTTTCTTTAATCATTAGAGAAAGAAAACGATTCGTTGTACCGTTCTCGACTTTTAATCCTCATCTGAATTCAGTTTTTCCCTTCCCCCCCCCCCCCACCCTCCCGCGCAAAGCGCGGAAGCTTTTACGTTTCATTAAACCATTAGAGAAAGAAGACGATTCGTCGTACCATTCTCGACTCTTAATTTCTTTAAAAAGGGGGTTGGTTTTTTTCTCTCTCTCTTTGGACTCCTGAGAAATGTAAAAAGGGGGTTATAAAATATCTTGAATATCATAGAAAAATTGATCAAATCCCGGGATCAAATTCCTGAAATTCCTGCTAGCTTTGAAAGCTCATTCAGGATTATTTCATTTTGAAAATTAAAAGCATTGCCCCTCAGTCCCCCTCGATCGAATAGAGCTCACCTGAAATCGGGGGAGGGGGGGTGGTACATTTAGCAGTGATCCGGATTTTTTTTTTTTTTTTTTTTTTTTGGGGGGGGGGGGGTCTCCAAGGTAGGAAAAGCCAGCGAAAAGCCGGCGAAAGGGGGATTCAGAAATGTTGGCAGTCCTGAGATTGGGTGGGGGTGGGTGCTTTCAAAGGGAGGGAACGAGCGTACGCGTACCCTAAATAACACTAAGTGGGAGCCGGGCATCTACTGTACATGATTGCACTTTTTAAGCGCTCGCGCGCTCGCGCACTTTACGTCTGGGCTATAATAATACCTTGCAAAATAACGAAAAATTATTCTGAAGTTTATGTAGTGCTTGTTCGCGCACGTCGCCAACTATTCTTAATGATAGTGACATACTGTATACGTGTAGGCTATACAGTTTTACATACATAAAAAAATAACTAATTTCTCATGCATTATGCTGAAATTGAAACAATCACATTTTTTCGTCTTCTTCTTCTTCTTCCTTTTTTGTCTCTCTTTTTTTTGTAATATCAGGGGGGGGATGATTGTACAGGCCATCCCCCCTACCTCAAGCCAGGGGGGATGCAGCCCCCCCCCCCATCCCCCCCGGGATTTACGCCCCTGACTATGTTAGATCTCGGGAGCCTTGATCATGAGCAAGCTTACATTTCCAATTCAAGTCCTGCTAGAGGTTTTTAAGCCTTCTTGTTGACAACCAGTATAGCTGTAAACCTTCTATCGAGACAGGCAAATATATATAAAACCTTTCAGTTTTAACCTGGTAAAATCTGTCAATAGGAGATGACCTTTCCATCATGTCCGATATTTAGCCCTTGTGTCTTGCATGTTACAAATTATTGTGAATTTATGAACATAGTCTGAAGAACAAAATTGTCTTCGTATTTCGTCTGATCTAAGCACTGATCGTACCTTGTAAACCTAACTACAATATAGGTGCACTCTGTGATCAAAACGTTTCTTTCTCTTTTTCTTGACTTGCAGAGGATCTTACTTTTTTCGAGACAGGGGCCGGTGAGTCGGTTCATTACTTCCCTCTGGCACATCATGTGAATTCACTATTAACTGACTCAAAACCAGAGGGCGTCTCACGGTTTGAATTCGCTGTTACATCACAATCTGCTGTGACCCTTTCAATTTCTGCTGATCGAGGTGATCAACCAGATCGATATGTAATACGTGAGTATAACTTCTTTTTACATTATTTTATCAGGCGCTATCATAATTATGCCGGTATTACTTGTGGAAAAAAATTATCAATTACCTTTCCCAAAGTTGCAGTTTTCACGTTCATCTAATTATAGAATCACACTTTTTAAAGAGGCCTAGATCTACAAATCGGCTAGACTATAAAATACTGTGATACGAAAACAGTTTTTTTGTTATTGTCCTACGTATGTTTAACTTTTCTCCATTGAGGGCTTTGATTTAGGCTTGCAGGTAATTTCTTACAGCATATTGATCTCGATTAGGATTGTATGCGTCATATTTGTTACATGACTCCAGAGAATACACCTTTTCAATATTTTTTTTTTTATAGTTTGGCCCAGATCATCTGATAGAAGATAAACGAATGTCTTGAGAAAATCAACCCCAGTAAAAATACTCTAATAAAATGGCAATTAAGAAAAATTACCATCTTAAAGTCTACACTCTATTTGACATTTTAAGGTATTGGAATCGACGGCAATAGGAAAGTAAGCCTTTATCGGTGTGAGGCAACCAACTGCACCCTTCTTGAAACAGCCCTGGAATCTGGTGTGTTGAACCTGATAGGACCTACATCGTTTTTCTTGGAGCTCAGTACGATTGCGGATAGAGCCCTCTTCATCAGGTTAGGCAAGGTCGGTGGTATCGACTGGGTGGATAGGAAGCTCTTGCTCTACACCATCCCGCGTCCGTTGCGAGTGGCCTTTGTGGGATTCAGCACGCCAAACTCCGTTGGTTCTTGGGCCATCAACGAATTCATCCTATATGATAGTAAGTATATACCCACAGGCATTGTTTCTGGAAATTGTAGTTATCCAGACCGTCCTCCTGGGACCCATTTCACTCAACCTTTTTTCAATGACAAATTACAAAAATCAGTGACAAATCTGCAGATAGCCAATCAGAAGCAAGGATTTCAGTAGCTTATAAAATAAACTGCAATTTGTCACTGACGACAAGTTTTGTGAAACGGGGCCCTAGCATATCTGCGCCTCATTTAGATCTATAACTATTTCACTGACTAATCATTAACTTTTGTTGTGATGATTCTGCGTTTTTGAAGTACACTGATAAAGTTGGATCAATAAAGATTGATCGATAAAGTTCTGAGAAGATAATTACAAACTTCATCTATCGAGAATAAATGACATTGTCACAATCATTTCATGAACAAGATAACAAAAAATTGACTCCAAGTTTATGGGTAACAATGTATCAATAATTCCATCCACAGCCGCGACATCCAAATTTGTTACCCGACCATCCCAGGACTACGTCTACCAACTCGGTCCATTCCCGGCCGCACAGGAAGCACGAATCGATTTCTCCATCCAGTCTGCTTGCCCTGCCGAGATGGTCTTTAAAGCTAAAACTACGTCTGTCTCAGACAACTACACACTTGGTATAAAAGCATTTCATTTTTTTTTAGAAACTTAAATTCTATTCTATATTTATTTATAGTGTACCTTTGTTTAAATATCTAAGTAGCCATGAACATAAAGGAAAATACAAATTACAGTTCAATATTACTACTATAGGGTAACTCATCAAAAAGTGGCATTTATCAATAGAGGGCAATCTAACATGGTGATTAAACGTAAGACTGGCACATGAGTTTTATGTTTTACTTGTTTAGTATTTGCAAATTTTTGCCCAAGGTTTCCGATTGACTTCTTACATTGCGCTCATATCCGTCACGCTGTAATGTTCATGGCGCATAAGCATCATTACCCCGTTTATACCCGAGCCGCTGAAGTACAAACGCTAAAGCTTGAAGCATCGAATTTACATCTGGGGGAGCGTGGTAACTTAGATCAATTTCAAAGAATATTAAAGGTAAAGACCAGTATTGGAAACACCCCAATTTCAAAAAATGAAATGGAAGCTCTCATTACCAATCATGTGAAAGAATATGTTTTGACTAATACATGATGATAAAAAATTTGCTGGGAAACCGCCTACTAATTCATATATTTGGTAAATTTGTTTCTCTCATGGTCTGTGAGAGATATAGGGTAGTCCCATATACATCTTTTTGTGTATAGTGCTTGTAACTTTACGAAGAATGGGCCAAATTTCTTATCATTTTGATGATTCCAGAACCTTGCAGATGCTAGATGCTAGATGATCAACCTTTTCTGATCGATTCCACAACGTTTCTTTCACAATGCAATCGCATGACCATAACTGGTCTTTACCTTTAAAGCAGGGTGGGAATTCGATTCCTCAACATTATGATTGAAGGTATATGAAACTACTATAACATCATAGCACCCCTAATTGTTGTCCAATCACAGCGATCGGTACTGACAACAACCAGATGACGACCGTCACCAAATGCGTCTCTTCAGAGTGCACTCAACTCCACGTCATCCAGACACCCGATATTCTCAGCACCATCTTTCCCGCCTATTTCTACATGGATATCGTCTCCACGGATGGGATATTGTCGGCAAGACTAGGTAAGGCAAGTCTTGCTGGGAGGCTTCGATCAGATGGATCCACTCTCCTGGTGTTTGAGGACTCGGAACCGATCCATGTGACTTTCGCTGGTTTCAGGACAACACAGTGTCCTGGGGTCTGGACGTCGTCAAAACAAGTGATCTCCAAACCTGGTAGGTAGAGTGATGAAGACTTCAATCATGTTACGGTTGTTCTTTTAATTCCGGCCTCTTTTATACAAAGGTGGACATCTACTTAGCTCAAACACATGATTTACTTCAAAAGCAGAGATCTTTAGACCCTAAATTAAACAAAAATTTGTATCGGCATTTACGTTTAAGACGTTTGAATTAAACAATATCAGAAAACGCAAGAACATGACGTTTAAAAAGAGTCTAACATTCCAGACAATCTAGATAATTTTCTGCGTAATCAAATCAAAGATTTTTAATTATCTTTTGTGTTTACCTGAAGGAGCCACTACAACCGAAGCAGTGAAAGAACCCAACTCTCAAATTCCACAGGAGAATCTCTTGGAGAATGAACTCGCCCAACCTACTGCAGCAGTGGCAGCGCCCTCCCCGCTCAAAGAGGAACCAAGTTAGTAACTACTTTCAATGAGGTTTCGCATGCCACTTTAATCTTACAGATTGTTTGGTATTAATTTATCGCAGTGTAAGTAATGCTCTGGCATTAGGCTATTGAGCCAGACTTTAAGTAAGTGTTTTTGTCAGATAAAATGAGAATGTTAACCATCAACACTGTATGCCAAGTAACCAACAAAACACAACAAGATAAATAATCACGATAATGCTCCCAGTATCATAAAATATGCATCATGTCTTATTTGTGGCCATTTTCAAAAAGAGAAATAAAGCAGCTCGTTCTAATGTTTACTGATAAATTCCGAAAACCTGACACTTCATCCAAAGTACATGATCATTTCTTTACAATATAGTCTTCTTTTTATAATTTCTTGCACGTTCACGTAACAAATAAACGTTCTTTATTGATGAGGCGTATTTTGCTCGCTTCTGATTGTTATACAGGTGACAAGGTGACGTTCACAACTTTGGGTGCCGCAAATGAGTCACCTCGATATGAAGTCGGTCCATTTGACTCTTCCCGCCCAGCAAGGTTTGAGTTCGTGGTCACGGCACCCTCTGACGCTGTTGTAGCTTTGTCACCGACGGTGGGCTCTGATTATCCAAGCTATAAACTACGTAAGTGGAACCCTAAAGGGATGGGGTTGCCCTGTGAGTAAGGCGTTGGGGTGCTGTTAGCATTATTTGTTTTAAGACACCTTATAGTGGTGGATTTTTTTTCTCTCTTGTCAAACAATTATGGCGTGACAAGATACGCCTCAGCACCCCTATATTAGTGAACAAGTCGTGTGCCTCCAGGGTGTGTGGGTGCACGCACGCGTGTGTGTTTGTGTGTATGTGTGTGTATGGGGGGGGGGGGTGTTCCTTCAAATATTGAACAACCCTGTGTGGCAGAGAGGTAAGTTTACCATAAACCTGTCGATGCTTTAGCTCAAGGGCGGTTGCTTTGTGTTAGGATGACCGGTTGTTCCGCGTGAAAAAGGTCGATCCCACCAAACGTTTAGGTCTTATCGGTCCTAGTCTATGTGATTATGGGAGCCCCGTGCCCTTTATCACAAAAAGAAGAAAAGAAAAAGAGAAAGAGGGGAGGGACGGGAAAAAGAGAGACGGCCTACGTTAGAAAGAACAAACTGTCCTCCTAACTTTACCCGTAGGGGCAATCCTCTTTATTGTTTTCTTTTCATCACCAATATTTTTATAATCCATTATGGGAATTACAACTTAATTATTTAACTGAATAGTTAAAATTAAATAAAATAAAATTGGAAATTACGAATATTTCGTGTAACTACTCTTACATTTCAATTTCGAAACTATACCCGCAGACATCGGAGCGACCGAGAACAAGGAGACCCATGTTATGCGATGCACAGCCCCATATTTCTGTCCAGCACAGCTTACCGTTCAGACGGACGCAATCGTGGCAACCACCGAGCCCGTCAAGTTCTTTGTAGAGCTCGTAAGATGTGGCAGAACCAAGAAGCTTATGATACGCCTCGGACAGATCTCAGGAGCAGCCGGTGCCGATTCAGTGATCTTAGACTACGAAGACGCTGATCCTCTGGAGATAGGTTGGGCTGGCTTTGGAACGCTTCAAGGTTTGACGGGACAATGGACAGTTTATCGATTCATCTTCTACTCAGGTATGGTAGAGAATACCGATCTTCTAAGCAGAGTACAATTTATATGATTTTTATGAAAGTTTGACAATAATGATCCGTGTTTTTTCGGTACGTTACGTCACAATCAGAATTTTCTCAGAAACGATGCGGATGCAAAATTCATTCTAAAGTTCAAAATCTATTCTTTGTGGACTAATTATTGAGAAACGACTTCATAATTCTTTATTCTATGAGTACGGCTGACATCATAATCACTTTAATACCTTGATTTGAATTCATTCTGAATATTAATGATCAAGCATTCTTCTTTTTGAAAGTGAATACATCGACATTTTTGTTTAATGTTCCGGATATTGACCCGTTTCAAGTAACTGGTGTAGAACCTAACTCACATTCCCGTTAACTTTTGACAGGAACTACATTGATATCCTTGTTCAAGACTGGCCAAAGTTCAAGTAACCTGCGGTATCCTCAAAGTTATACAGTATCACGTGACCAGTCTGAGATGAAGTTCTCGTTCAGTGTAGCTGCGGAACAGAACGCCCTCATTGCCCTCTCTGATCAAGCATCTACCTTTGATTCAACGGACGTCTTACAGATCCGTAAGTACTATCGGTATCATTGGCGCCAGAAATTGAACAACATTTTGTGGATGGAGAGGGGTACATACCTTTAGATCTCTAGTGGAAGAAATGTAACTCGAACTTTCGAATGTGCAGATCCCATGCGAGTTTTATTTTTGTTCTGGGCATTTGAATGAGGGAGGATGCGTGATTATGTCCGTTTGTTATTTTGTGTTATTTTTGCCGCATAAATGTGTTGCTTTTTCCTTCTCTTTCGAGGCATTACATATCGCATACCGGTAATATGCATTTCTCTACCAAATCTGCAAACTTGGTTAACATAACTATTAGTACACTTAATTCCCTGTTTCAGGTTTGGGGATCAACAACAACCAGAAGTCAACCATCTCTCGAAACAATGTAGAGATTGTAGCCGCTGAAGCTGGTCAGATATCAACTTATTGGGATACTACGTTCTGGGTCTCTGTCGACGGCAATATAATAGAAGTCGGAACTGAAGATAGCGACGAATTTATGGTTGCCATTTTAGACGAGCCGATTGGTGCGAAGTACATCTGGTTTGTGGCAGGTGAAGAAGAAAGAGTAGTATATGACTGGAAGTTCTATAAATATTTCTACTACAGTTCAGCGACCGGTAAGTAACTTTATCATCCAATATGTCTTTTTGGACTTAGTTTTTAGTTTTTACTTTTCGCGATTTTGATTCATACGTTGACAGTTGTTATTTATGTTTCTAAATCCAAGGGGTTATTCAGTGATAATTCATTAACTTTACAGTTTTTTCGCATTTCTTCCACTTTGTCAGCTGATGGAGAATATACCTCCACGATTATTTACAGGTGTATCTTTGCGTTTTTAGGACAAATCTCCCCAGAGAATATTCATCTGTTAGTGTTTAACCTATTCATAGCTATTGCACATTGTTCTTAATTTCAAAGGTCATCTGGAATCGACTCACGACATCGATGTCTTTCACGCTCATATTTATGAACAGTCGTCACTGGAAGAAACGTTTGAGTACAGTTTCCATCCTCTCCATGAAAACTACTTTGGCAAGTACATCGAGTTCATGGTCAAGACAGAGGGCGCTATTTCGATTGCCTTATCAGCTGATGAAAACCAACAAGTCGATATGTACGAAGTCGGTGAGTTGTAGACAGAGGCATATCCACCTCTCTTTTGGAATGATAAGGATATCCAGTATAGGTACAGCCAAAGAGTGAACTGACCATGGGGAGTTCGGGGCCTTTTCTCCACGGTTAAATTAAAGTTACATACCAGAATGTTAGTTTCAATTCGCCTCTGATAGAGCCAGTAGGTGGGTCAGAAAGCCCCCACACCAATGCCACCACCCCCCCCCCTCCCCTCCATAAGAGAGGAGAGGGAGATAGACAGACACAGAGAGACAGACATTATACGGAGAGATGGAGAAAGTAATATAAAGAAAGAGAGAGAGAAAGTAATACAGAGAAAGAGAAAGTGTGTGTGTGGGTATGTGTGTGTAATAAAAAGAGAGGAAGAGAGAGAGAGATAGAGAGAGAGAGAGAGAGAGAGAAAGTAATACAGAGAAAGAGAAAGTGTGTATGTGGGTATGTGTGTGTAATAAAAAGAGAGGAAGAGAGAGAGAGATAGAGAGAGAGAGAGAGAGAGAGAAAGTAATACAGAGAAAGAGAAAGTGTGTATGTGGGTATGTGTGTGTAATAAAAAGAGAGGAAGAGAGAGAGAGATAGAGAGAGAGAGAGCATCAAACGGCTTTAAAGCAATATCTTTATAGGCTACTTTAGAAAATCAACAACAAAATAATTAACCCTTTTGTTTTGTTATGCTTTGACTCACCAATGCAGTATTTAGCGGTAACGGGAATACGGACTTGTCGCTACGTCGATGCAGCTCGTGTCAAGCTCTTGTTAGCTCACACAAAGTTGGTGGATTTTTAGTTTCAGGGGAAGACAGGTATGTAACCCGCATGTCATCTCCCACTTAAACTATGCTACAACACGACAAAGAACGAACCCTGAAGACATATAGTAAACTACTAAATTATTCATGCCTTTACCAATTTTGGTAATTTTTTTTGGTATGTGAAAAGTGATTTGACCCGATTTATGTTTATTGAGAATGTGACATGTCAAAAGATAACATCTAGAAATATCCAATAAAGGCCCTAATTCAACCAGTATCACTCTTTATTAACGAAAAGACATAACATTTACATGAAGTATGAATAATTTGGATAAAATTTGGCTGATTGAGCATTAGTTACGTGAAACTACACCCGACCGCAATCATTTTAATGCAGACGACTGAATTCAAATCGCTTATAGTGAGGTAGGCCTACAATATCAAAACGCGTGGCCACTTTCCTTTTAACCGTTCATAATAATAATAATAATAATAATATGGATATTTATAATTGTATCTGAATTTAAAATGATGTATGGGAATGGGCTAGGAGAATTCTTGTATGGTTGTTACCGTGTTGTTGGCTCAAAATATTTTATTCTGACAAGTATATTAGATAACGAGGCACAGATAGCCTTCTTTAATCGACCAGAAAAAGGGCAATACTGAGAGCATTTTAATGACATATATTTTTGATCTGATGTGAAAAGAGGGTAATACAAAGTGTGGTATCAGAAAGAACAATTAAATATACTTTTTCTTGACCTTCTAGGAGCTTCTTGATATCCGTATATGACGGTACTATCCGGCTGTATGATGAGCAGGTAACCGATCCGCTGCTGGAATGGACTGATCCCGAACCTCTATCCGTTAGCTTTGCAGGATTCAGTATGACAAGTTCATCGCACTTCACATACACTTCAGGTAACAGCTGTACTTCGAGTGTAGACGTACGAGCAAAAAAAAAACACGCACTACGTTATGGTAACAATTTCTAGAATTACATTTATATTCGGGCACCTTGTTGCCCAAATGTGAGATAACACCGGAACTTCAAATAGTATGCCCATGATCTTATACCCCAGTCAAAACAAGGGACTGACACCAGATCGACAACAGACTGACACACAATTATATTGCAATGCCTCCAATGGCCAAGAATCGGTCGGTTAGAAGTCGGTTTGCCGATGACTTATACCTAGGTCGCACCTCTAAACCGACTCCAAAACCAATGGATCTCGTTGGTGTGATGGTTTGATTGAAATAGATATCAGAGTTGTACAACTTGTCATATACACTATGAACATGACGGACAAAGAAAGCGGACAGAATATACAGTTCCTCAGGTAGACAAAGGAACATCCCTTCACTGCTATTATATAAAAATGTGTAGAACAGGTGTCACATGCATATTCATCTGTTCTACAATTTTTCAGTGAAGGGATGTTCCTTTGTCTACCTGAGGAACTGTATATTTTGTCCACTTTCTTTGTCCGTCACATTCATAGTGATACCAACAGATCTGTATTTCAGTTACAATGTAAGACACTCCCCTGTGAAATGCATGTAAATGGTTTCCCTTATAATAAACCTTTGATTTGTAATGCATTCAATGAATAGGCCATTTTCGTAATGTAACCAAATTAAATGCATATTAAGTCTTTGTGGAGTGCCTCAATACAAATTATTTCATTCACCTGATAGGAATAATAGTATTTCAATAGTCAGAATGCAACTACATAATTATGTTAAGTGTTGCTAGGTAGGTCAAGCCATAATGTTTGTCCAACCTGGCAACAACTAATGTATGCAGTTCGGATTCTGTCTATTGAAATACTATTATTCTTATCAGGTGAATGAAATAATTTGTATTGAAGCACTTCACAAAGACTTATGCATTTAATTTGGTTACATTACGAAAATGGCCTGTTGATGTTCTCTCATAAAGAATGGTGATGAGCTATTTGTTTAAGCTGTTTCAAACAGTTGAACACTTTCTTAATTATAATTATTTGGCATGCCCAAGTTGTTACATGGTCAGACAAAGCTCCATTAACTATTCAAAAGAGTGACAAAGACGTACAAAGAACAGCTTAAAGAAATCACTGTTTGAGATGCCGGAGTCACAAGATGGCTGCTGTTTGCATCGATGAGTCTCGGTGTACACCCAGTCATTATGCAACACCCTATCCATTTTATGCAGGTCAATGGACTTTTACTACTCTGACACCACTATTTCAATCAAAATGACAGCTCACATTGTAAAAAGGCTTGCAAGCAAACGTAAAACTTTGGAAGGGTTGTTTCCCTTGCTATGCGTTCAAATTTCAAGTAATTTCGAGTAATTTCAAGATATTTTAACTGGCAGACATTTTAAAATAACATTATCAGCTAATGTTTGTTGGGTTCATTCTCCTGTAACTATTCGTTTCTTTTCCCTCCATTTTAGTGCCAACAGCGGGCTCTTACACTGATGAAGCTCCCTCCCCTTATTTCTACGCTGTACAAATAGTCACTAATAAGCCATGGAAGGTCATATTGTCTATGTTGGGCAGACAAAGAGGGGAAGTGTACGAAATCGGTAAGACCGTGTACTTCTTCCTTTCTTTTTTACAATTTGATTTTTTATCTATTTCTTTATTCAATTATTGCTCACAAAAACCAGACGAAACAATTGTCAATTTTCGATATACCCATTTCCCATTCATATAAAAGAAAAAGTAGGAAATTTGATCAGAATGCATGAATTTATGTAGGGAAAATAGTTTTTAATGGATGACAGAGAAAGACATTTACCAACTGATATAATGATGCAACCCTAGATAAATTTTTTAGATTAAATTTTCATGCATTAAGACCCTCGCAAACTTATCCTTAATCCACAACAAAAAAATACATAATGAACAAACAAAATTGATGCATTCATGATCCCATCCGTATAGAGAATCGTATTATCAATGATATCTGAGCGCTTTTACCTTTACATGCAGTATATGGAGCGGGAGCAAATACAAGAAGTGAGATCCGAAGGGGTAATGTACTCGTTGCATCTGCTGAAAATGCTGGATTAGTATCCACTAAGGAACCGAACTACTACTGGTTTGCAATCGAAGACGATGTCATTCGAACCGGCTCGTTTGATCCGGTTTCTTCTCAACGCTGTGCACCATTCCTTGGTTACACAGATCCGGACTTCATACAGGTTCCCCTTTTCCGGATTTCCACTGGAGATGCAGGGGCGGTATTCAATTTCGGTTTTGGGAGCGGACAGTCACCGGGGTTAGAGACCAGTGATCACGTTTGCCAGCCGTATGCCGAGGCTATAAACAGCTATCAAGAAGATGGGATCAACGAAGGAGATGGAGACAAAAGTAGTGATGAGAAGAGTGTTAGTCACGAAAGTAGAAGTATAGAGAAAAGGAGCAGCGAAGAGAATGGAGTTAGTGAAGAGAAAAGGAGCAGTGAAGAGAAAGGAGTCAGTGAAGAGAAAAGGAGCAGTGAAGAGAAAGGAGACAGTGAAGAGAAAATGAGTCATGAAGTGAAAAGGAGCAGCGAAGAGAAAGGAGTCAGTGAAGAGAAAAGCAGCAGCAAAGAGAATGGAGTTGGTGAAGAGAAAGGAGTCAGTGAAGAGAAAGGAGTTGGTGAAGAGAAAAGGAGCAGCGAAGAGAAAGGAGTCAGTAAAGAGAAAAGAAGTAGTGAAGAGAAAAGGAGCAGCGAAGAGAAAGGGAGTCATGAAGAGAAAGACGGACAGAAAAAGAAAGGAAAGGGTGATATGAAAGGAGGCAGTGACGAGAAAAGTAGTAGTGAAGAGAAAAGGAGCAGTGAAGAGAAAGGAGTCAGTGAAGAGAAAAGGAGCAGCGAAGAGAAAGGAGTCAGTGAAGAGAAGGAGAGTCATGAAGAGAAAGATGGAAAGAAAAAGAAAGGAAAGGGGATAAAGAAAGGAGGCAGTGACGAGAAAGAGAGCAGCGAAGAGAAAAACGAAAAGAAAAAGAAACGTAAAGGAAACAAGAAAGGAAGAAGTGTAGAAAACGATAAGTAGAAAGAAGAGACAAGGGCCCAGTTCATTAAAGGGGAAGTCCACCCTGAAATTAAGTTAGTTTTAATAGGAGTAGAAAAATGAGAGAAACAAGTCAGTGAAAGTTTGAGCAAATTCCGATTAAAAATAAGGAAGTTAGGAATTTTGAAGTTGTGATCAATCAAACACAAATTGGCAACTCTATGACGTATCATGCGAGCTCAACTTCCATTTGCTCAGTACTAAAAAAATCTAAAATTTTCATTTTCCCTCAAGAAAAATTTCAACCATACATGCACCCTAAATATAATAATTGCAAATATGTTTCTATACTCCCCCTGCAAGGAACAAATATATATTCCGTCATCAATAACGAAGAAAACATGATTTTATGGAATATTATGCACAAAGCAAATGAAGGAGAGCTCGTATAATAAGTCACAGAGTTGCCAATTTGTATTTGATTGATCACAACTTCAATAATTCATTACTTTCTTATTTTCATTCAGAATTTGCTCAAACTTTCACTCACCTGATTTTCTTATTATTCGGCCTCTATCGAAACAAACTTATTTTGGGGGTGGACTTTCCCTTTAATGTATTCAAATGCATTTCACGTCTGATAACGTCTCGATGGATCGATACCATCGTATATGTAAAAATGTTGTTGCTACGGTTTGGAACGCATAGCCTGGGAATGCCTTCAGTAAGCTGTTTGGTCATCAGTATAAAAATTTGGGTTGAAAGCGTTTAAATAAAATTTGAAGTCATTATTAGACTGGTCTGGTGCATCGGCTATCTATCTCTCTGCATGTTTAATTTCAAAAGCTGAGCTAATAAGCTGTTTAGAATTAAGTATTAAGCTGTCTGTTAATCATACAATTTAAAAGCATGTTACATAATGGTTTACTCTCATAGATATTTGTATATACAAATATCTATAACAGCTCTGTGTAAAGATTAAGGCCAACCAGCTATAACTGGTCTGATGATATTTATAAGCTATATTGCCACCGTGGCACTTTGCTGTTGTAAGATAAAGATGAACTATGGTCAGTTACGGTGCACAGACCGGGGAACGTTTCACAAAGACTAAGATCAACTTTAAGATGGACTTAACTATGGCAGACCGTTCATGCCTCTGGTTGCTCTCACCATTATGATCATTATATAATATTTTTTCCTCCAATAATAAACTATAAAATATATAAATTCTGTAGATTTATGACCATGATTTGTCTATCCCCTGAGAGACCAATGCCAGTAAATGGTGAGAGAAAAAAGTGGCATGAACGGCTTGTTATAGTTAAGTCCAACTTAAAGTCGATCTTATTCGTTGTGAACCCCCCCCCCCCCCTGCACTCCGTTCTATCCATAATTTCTGGTTCAAGTTATCCCTACGCTCTCTAAACAATTATTGATATCATTTTGAAAGTGAAAGATAGCAACCTCCATCATAGGTTCAAATGCGTCAATTTATTCAGAATTGAGAGCTGAAAAATATTGTATTATTAGTCTTTATTTATAATTTTGCTTTTTAGAAATTCTTCTAGTGATTGAAAACCGTGCTTCAGATCCCAATCTACAAACATTGATTTTGTATTTGTTTACAAATTCTAGATTAAAAATGGACATTTAAACTCCTTTCCTCTTCTTTACATTTCTCATTTCTCATAATCGTCTTTTCAAAATGCTTTATTGTGCAATGATTAACAAACATGCTTTCTCGAATAAAAATCAACCAGTCTGGTAATTATGGGCTAAAAAGTGGTATCAATCTGCATATTTTTTCTCGTATTTTATGTTCTTTTAATCCTTATGTTGCATTTATGTTGCATTTATTGTCCTTATGTTGGGTTTATGGTCAAGGGGGGAATATTTTGCTTTCTAATATGCTGTAACCAGAGTTAACCAAATTAATACCTTGTTAATAAATCATAGCTGCTATTAGCAATACCAATAAAAGATAACGATTTCAACAACAGACAGAATGAATGCTACATAGTCTAAACTTTCCTTTGTCTCATTTTGTAATGTATTCTGATATTTTACACAAGAGAATCCACATCACAGTTTATTTGTAGAAATATTAGTAACAAGATTAGAACTTGACTTTTAAAAAAAGCTTATTTTTCTCACGGAAGATGTCAGTAATGATGCAGGATAGCGTAATTAATATGTAATATGATATACATTGTGTAAGCGTTTTTTCACACAACAAACATTGCCTTTCAAAGAAAAGGTATGGATACAATAATATAAATTATAATAGTGGGTTCTTGTATAGCGCTAATGGCACTCCAGTGACTCCACAATTACTACCCCGGCTTTAGCATGGCTGCCATGCCATACCGTAGGTACGTCAATATGGAATAGTTTTCCACCAAATTAAGCATTTCCGCGACAGCACATTTTCAGCAGTTCAGTGAAGACAGTGAAATAAAGAGTGTACATTGTATTATCTAGACGTGGAATGCATAATTATGAATTTAGAAACTCGTGGAACTCATTGGTACAACTTAAACGCTTTTCTGCTAACGTGATAAAATACTTAACTTGCCCTCATCAAAGTCAGTACTTTCGTTTAGCTCGGCTTTTCTCAGTTATTTACCCACATAGTGATTCTTTGTCCGGAACAGTATGTGAAAGTATTACGAACCAATGGGCATAAAATGATTCCTCCTGCACCGTGATCATTGTGCTCAGTCATCGAAAATTCCTGCTTTTGACGAATTATAAGTTTCAATTTGCTGCCCCAGGGTGCGAGTTATACACAAGGCTTCTTTCTTTTATGTTTCTCCTTGAAAAAACTAAAACAGTCAACACAGTTGATAAATATTCATAATACAGAAAACACATTCGCCTTTCCGAACTTCTTTTCCGATTAAATCTTAACAACTTGTTAATGTCGTTTGCCTCATTTTGCCATTGGGGACTTTTAGATTTACACGACGAGAGCGTGGACCGCCACGTGTGACATCCTTTTAAGGTAATGTGACGTCCTTTTAAGGCACTGCCGGGCACGGCCCAGTGCCTTAACACAATGTCACACGCGGCAGTCCACGCTCTCGTCTTGTAAATCTAAGAGTTCCTATTGCAGACCAACTGCAGTTACCTGCACCACTCAATTAAATATATTGGTGTACGACACGCACAACTTGAATTTGTTGAAAGTAGAAAGTACTATTTTGTTAGCGATCAATACGCAAAAAGTACAATTTCATCATATTCTTAAAGCAAATGTCAACAAATATCTGTTTAATGAGGGCACCTCTTAGAATTAGTTGGTTCCGCCAAGTATCTGGGTATCCACATTGATCAGAAGCTTAACTTCAATACTCATGTTGATTTCTGTGACAGATTTTTGCGACGGAAATTCAAGCAGGCCACGTACTTCACATACGTCCGACCAGTCGTGGAATATGCTGCAACAGCATGGGATCCATGCACAAGTATAGCGGAACACCGACAGGGTTGAAATGGTTCAACGATGTGCACGCTATACGTCACCGGTGACTTCAACAAACTTCCATGAACTAAACATTACGAATTAAAGTGGGATGCTCATATAAATATAATGTGTCACAAAATTAGTAAAATTATTGGCTTCCTTGGTAGATTAAGACACTTTATAGATGAATCTGAATTGAATCTAATTTACAAAACCACGTTTCTTCCACACGTTGACTACGGAGACATGGTTTGGCAGTCCGCTGCTAAATCCTTCCTTTCATTTTTACAAAAGCTTCAAAACAGGGCGGGCCGTGTGATAATGAAAGCAGTAAGTCCTTATTCTCATACATCCAATTAAAATGTTCATGGTACTCTAAATTGGGACTTTCTAGACTGCCGTTACAAAAAACATTTATGTACCATGCGTTTTAAGATATTAAATAATTCCACCCCGTCTTATATGTCAAATAATATCAAATATCGCATGTATAATATTCATTTCGCTCGTCCCAAAATCTAGATCTCCCTACACCGAATTCAAATAATTGCAAAATAACATTCTTCTATAGGGGGTGACACAATACAACCAACTACCAGAATGCATCCGAAATGTAACTACATTAAAATCTTTCATACCCTTATAACTGATAATTTTTCTTAACACACTTCCTTAAACTCAAATTATTGTTTGCATAACCTTGTGTATTTGTTTGTGTTTGTGCGTATGTTATTATTTGTAAATTTTTGTATTTTTAAAAACTTGTATTTATGTTTTGTTTATATTCTGCTTTATCTACACTTTTGTGTAAATATTGTAGTGTAAGGCCCCAAGGAAGAACAGTAATTTTCTATGAACATTGCTGAGGTGGGCTTTCCTCCGATTGTTATCTATGTAGATGTATTCATATCTCATTTTGTTTATTTTTCTTTGTATAATATTTGTATCTGATTTCGGAAATAAAAAAATAAAAAAACAACCTTGAAGCAGCACTTACGCTGGAAGAGGAAGAAATCAGTGGAAATAATTGGAAAGCATTAACTCTCTACTTTTATGAGTCACACAACACTTGCTGAGTAATTAAACACTCAAGGGACATGGTCAAAACGAATGATTCATAATCAAGTAGCCAAACTTTAGGCCTTAGACAAAAATTTCTTGATACATGTAATGTATACACAATAAAGGCTGTGGTAATCATTATAATTGTGAAATGAAATTCACGATTTTGTGTCGTGCATAAAAGTTTTATCAGTAGTTGGAAAATAAAACACGCATAATAATTAAGTGAAATCAATATCAATAGTTATTCACAACACGACCATGTCAAGAACTATACCAAATTGAAATTCAAAACAGTTTTGAGATTCGAAAATGAAGGGAATAATTGTCCCTTGCTGATCATAGGCTTATTTTTGTTTACAAGTACAGTAAATCCCAAACCAATGTAAAAATACAGTAAATAGAAAGGGATACATTCTCTTTTGTTAATGATATTGTAATGTGCCGTATCTATAAGACTTGCCAAAGCTTACAGCAAACAAAAGCAAGGACGTTTTTCTTGGAAACAAATATTTCCCCATGTCTCTCAAACACTTCATCTTCATCAAGCATTAATTTTGATTAATGTGTTCAAGATACTTTCATAATGGCTCGATGTTTACTTGACGTTTTATTAGTTCACATCTATTAATTCACATCCTTGTTTCATATTCCCTGAAGCCATTCGATAGCTTAATGAGTTTTGATGCAATTACAGTATCAAAATCTTGAGAGAAAAAAATTAGCAACCGTACACTATTTGTGAAATTGAACAACAGTATGTACTCAAACCACGGTGCAGAAAAATATCTGAAAAGTGTTCGGGGATAAAGAAAAGGAAAAAAAATGTTTAAGTGTACAGACGTCTCGGAATATATTTTATTGTTCACGCTATCCACACTGAAGAGTCTTGTCGAGCAATATCAATAGTTATTCACAACACGACCATGTCAAGAACTATACCAAATTGAAATTCAAAACAGTTTTGAGATTCGAAAATGAAGGGAATAATTGTCCCTTGCTGATCATAGGCTTATTTTTGTTTACAAGTACAGTAAATCCCAAACCAATGTAAAAATACAGTAAATAGAAAGGGATACATTCTCTTTTGTTAATGATATTGTAATGTGCCGTATCTATAAGACTTGCCAAAGCTTACAGCAAACAAAAGCAAGGACGTTTTTCTTGGAAACAAATATTTCCCCATGTCTCTCAAACACTTCATCTTCATCAAGCATTAATTTTGATTAATGTGTTCAAGATACTTTCATAATGGCTCGATGTTTACTTGACGTTTTATTAGTTCACATCTATTAATTCACATCCTTGTTTCATATTCCCTGAAGCCATTCGATAGCTTAATGAGTTTTGATGCAATTACAGTATCAAAATCTTGAGAGAAAAAAATTAGCAACCGTACACTATTTGTGAAATTGAACAACAGTATGTACTCAAACCACGGTGCAGAAAAATATCTGAAAAGTGTTCGGGGATAAAGAAAAGGGAAAAAAAATGTTTAAGTGTACAGACGTCTCGGAATATATTTTATTGTTCACGCTATCCACACTGAAGAGTCTTGTCGAGCATGACAAATATTGTTTTCGTTGTCAGCATTTGTGCCTGACTAAGTGCTAGCCAGTTCTTTCTAAAATACGGCCCATATTAGCAACTATACGCCTCAAATTGTGTGTGATATACCAAAGAGTGGTAGAACTACGAGATGTAGAACTACATGTATAACATTTTAGTGAAAAAAGAAGATAAATGATAAACATTATGGTCAGTTTTGTCTGCGTTAAGAATATGGTGAAGAAAGAAAGCAGTAATAAGTGTCATCATGGCGCGGAAGTCAGTAACCCCTCGTACGAGTGAAATAAATGACGATGATGATTATGAGATAACAATACAACGAGAAAACGTCTTAACAACATAACAATACCCGGTATTCGTTTTACTTGAAACATTCCATAGGCTTTTTCATTTTAAGCATATATGAATATAAAACATAATTTGTGCATAACTTTATAGTTTTCTAGTTTATATGAAAGTGTTAAAATGATGCACGGGAAATATAAAGCACCGGACTTTCGGCCCTTGAATTTTTATTTCAAGATGAAAATGATAGGAATACGCCATACAGACTATATATAGGCTATAGCTGCATGTAAACGAATCGCTGGTCTTCCAACCACGTCCTAATAACTGTGACGAAATGTCCTCACATGTTGCCTAACTTTACTTAATGGGAAAGTTGAAAACAAATAGCATCTGCTTGCGGGCTCAACTGAAATAATTAACAGAAAATAAGCATCGTTGATGTGCCATCATGGTTAATGTACAAATAGTTTGCTAATGTCGGCATCTCTTTATGATAGCAACCTTCGAAGCAGGATAACGTATATATCTCACAAGAGATCACATCATTCTGTGTATGGTACCGCCGTCTTGCAATTAGGTACAATGACAAACACTTTCTTAAATGAACGCAAAAGTAATTGATCTCCTCACGACCGTGTACTGTCAACCAAGTGACAAATGAATTAATGCAGCGAGGCGAACAGCCAGCGTTAATACATTGCATTACAAAATCGTTATTTCACATAGGCCAACACTCATTTATTGTTCATGTTATTCGTGCAGTTTCCCGCGCTTTTCGTAGCACAGCAAAATATCAGCGTAGTGCTTTATTCAGATGTATTTTACATTGGATGTATGAGTAGCTAGTAGCACCAATCTGCAAGGCTGAAAACAATGATGTTGACGGCTTGTATCAATGATCTGTTTCTCTGAAATGGTTGACAAATCCGATTTGGTTCGTTAAACTGATCCTTTAAGTAGGCAACTCCTATATGGCGGATAACGCTGATTTCCAATTGTTGTAAAATTGATCTGTATACTGGTGCCGGTAAGACGTGATCTCTGATGTTCAAAACACCTTAGTATTATCTCCATCCAGTAGAAACCAGCCTCCTCATTTTTGAGAGTGTCCATTTTGCTTGGAAGAAATGTGATCCAAAATTATAAGTCATATAAGTCTGGGAATGAATCATCCATCGGTTCAGCTTTCATCCTCTTCTAAGAATGCATCAGTTGACCTTTTCTTCATAGCATCTGCAAACAGAAAAAAAAAGATAATCAAACATTAATTGTGTATTGCTTTCAGTATTATTCATTAAAACGTTATCTATTGATTATTACCATTAATTTTACTATCGTAATTATTATTGTTATTTTTTATAATGTTATCATTATCATTATTATTTTATTATCATTGCTACTACAATTTTTTCTGTTCTTGATTTTGTTTTTAATGCTGATGTTATATTCCGATCTATTTATTCATTTATTAGTTATCTGTTTTTATAATAATTTCAATGGTTGACATTCATCGCATCCAAAAAGGTACACAGGTCATAAAGCAGTTGACAGAAAATATCAAAATGCTATGCATAAACTTAAGGAAAAGTAAAAAGGTGAAGAGACAGAAAGAGGAAACGTGAGAAAAGAGAAAAGACAGCAGCAGAGAAATTTGAAGAAAAAAAAAAACAAGTTAACGAAGCAATAGTAGGAGAGGAAGAGGAGGAATGAGAAGGAGGAGAATAGGGGGAGGATGTTTAGAAGACGAAGAAGAAGTAAAAGAAGAAAATAACTAGATGGAATTTTGACTGCGCGCAGTCGAAAATGATGCCTCCGCCATAGAGCAATTTAAACAAGTTTGGAGTTTAAATCTCCAGTGGTTCTTGAGATATCATGATAACAATCTCAATGTATGGAATTTCATAAGTTGACCTCTGTGACCCTTGACCTTTGACCTACGTGCTCCAAAATCTACTCAGATTGTCTTCCTATGGTGATACACACTATCATTAAGTTTGAAGTTTAAATCTCCAGTGGTTCTTGAGATATTATGATATGGTGATACATACTATCATTAAGTTTGAAGTGAAAATTCTCCAGTGGTTCTTGAGATATCGCGATAACGATCTCAATGTATGGAATTTCATAAGTTGACATCTGTGACCCTTGACCTTTGACCTACGTGCTCCAAAATCTAATCAGATTGTCTTCCTATTGTGATACACACTATCATTAAGTTTGAAGTTTAAATCTCCAGTGGTTCTTGAGATATTATGATAACAATCTCAATGTATGGAATTTCATAAGTTGACCTCTGTGACCCTTGACCTTTGACCTACGTGCTCCAAAATCTAATCAGATTGTCTTCCTATGGTGATACATACTATCCTTAAGTTTGAAGTTTTTACATCTCCAGTGGTTCTTGAGATATCATGATAACAATCTCAATGTATGGAATTTCATAAGTTGACCTCTATGACCCTTGACCTTTGACCTACGTGCTCCAAAATGTAATCAGATTGTTTTCCTATAGTGATACACACTATCACTAAGTTTGAAGTTTAAATCTCCAGTGGTTCTTGAGATATCATGATAACAATCTCAATGTATGGAATTTCATAAGTTGACCTCTGTGACCCTTGACCTTTGACATACGTGCTCCAAAATCGAATCAGATCGTCTTCCTATGGTGATACATACTATCCTTAAGTTTGAAGTTTAAATCTCAAATGGTTCTTGAGATATCGCGCTAACAAACTCAATACAAGGAATTTCATAAGTTGACCTCTGTGACCTGTGACCTTTGACCTACGTACTCCAAAATCTAATCAGATCGTCTTCCTATGGTGATAAATACTATTCCCGAGTCTTAAGTTTAAATCTTAAATGGTTCTTGAGTTATTGTGATAACGGTCAAACGGGACGGACGTACGGACGTACGGACGGACGTACGGACGTACGGACGGACGTACGGACGTACGGACGTACGGACGGACAACCCGAAAACATGATGCCTCCGGCACCACCTTCGGTGGCGGAGGCATAAAAAGAAGAAGAAGAGAAAGAAGAAGAAGAAAAGAAAAAGAAAAAGGAGAAGGAGAAGAAGGAGAACAGTTTCCCATCTGGGCCCTTAGAATGTTACCTGAAATGATATGCTTGGGCACTTCTATTTCGAGTGGCGTCAGTTGTCTCGTTAAGATCTTGGTGTGATGTGGAGATACTTTCCTCCTGGTCGAGCTAGGGCTTCCGCTTCCGTCTTTGGTACCTGACGTAGCAGACTTCTTGAAGAGGGATTGCCGTTGCAGAGTGGGTAAACCCATTTCAAGCTTACCATCCTGGAGGTTTCTTCCGACCTGAGATTTGACAACCGTATCTTGCGCTGCCTCAACAAGATCGAATGAAGGTGCTTCGCGATTATTGTTATTGCTGTTCACCGAAGTGATTATATCTGGACGACCTGATGTACTGACTGGAGCGACAGTGTCACTTTTCGTGGTCTCTTCGCCCACTGCGTTAGTGTTAGCATCTACTGTGTTTTCAGTTTCAGCAGGTTTATCCGAAGATGAAATGTTATCCATTGATGCCTGAGCGTCATCCGCTTGATCGTTTGTGGCTTGTGCTGCTTTCGACCTCTGCTGCCCGCACTCGCTCGTTCTGTTGTCTTCCTCTTCCTCCTCCTCCTCCTCTTCCTCCATAATACCTTCGTTTGATGGTGCTGCCATGATATCTGAAAAATAAACGACACGAGAAGAGTTTCGTCACATTTAGTTTTCTTTCATATGATTGTCTCTTCATTTCAGCAATATGTCATTCTTTCTTCAGCCTGTGAATTGTGAAACATGTGAGTTCTTCTAATTACTACTATTTATATTAATACGCTTAGCATTCCTTCAATTTTCAATAGATACAAAATGATGTTCCCGTCAATATTACTGGGAATTGAAGAAGAGATGTGTTAAACGAACACAAATAAGCAAAACAGATACAAATAGGTTTTATTTTGTTCGCACAATAGTACCTTTGAGGTCTTTTGGTAGATCCAATGTGACAGGTGTCTGTCTGCGGACGAACTTGCGTGGCTGGTGAGGAACAGACTGGACCCGAGTGTTACTTGCTACTGGTTCAGGATTCTGCACGAACGGTTTAGATGCAGTTGGCGAAAGAAACTGCTTGTCGCCGACGTCGAAATTATCCTCCTCTTCTTCTTCCTCGTCTTCATCTTCGTCTGCATTCTCTAGCTGCTCTGCCTCTTTTTGAGAGAGCTCCTCACCGATGTCTGTTTGGACGACGATAGTTGGACTACCAACATCAGTATTTCGCTCCATGGTATGGCCGCCAACCGCCAAGCCGAGCTGAAGATCTTTAGGGGTTGACAGTCCTGGTGACGGGCTTTCAACGTCACTGCTCTCGATGTCTTCTATGACAAGGACGTCGGTGTTTGTTCCCTGTTTCAAAGAAACTGGTACTGGGCTTTCCTCTCCGTCTCCAGCCACCCACTCTTCGTCTTCTTCTTCAACGGATTCGGCCATCATTTTACTTGATCCTTTCCCTGTACATAAACAACATAGTATACATGAGCATTATCGAACCGAGCAAAAAACAGTACCATAAATTATGTCCTAGCACATTTTGACTTAACATAGCACCAGTGAATGATATGTAATCGTATTTAATGCAGTGATAATGATCGTTGCCTGTCATGGTTGCGGTGGTGATGAGTATTATTATTGTAGTGCTTCATAAGCAAAACCGCGGTGGTTTTTATATTTTGATGACGTAAACTGTAATAGGTTTCACATTTAAAACATATTTACAACTATAACAAAGAATACCCTCGGCGTCTTTTAAAAAACTTTTGTAACGGTTTACGGCATCATATCTGAACGAGCCTTAATTAAGTGTGAAAAGGTTGACAAGATAGATGTTTATCCCAATCGATATGAGTTATGGTATCATATATCTCCTTTATATGTCTGGACCACAGATCCGCGCAAAGAATCGTAATAAAACATCTCCATAGTCTATATTCTCAAGACGAAGTAGTCTCATAACACAGTCCACATTTTAATTCGATACAGATTCTTTCTCTCCGAGCTTTTTCACTCTATTCAAGTCTCATGCTTCGTATTTATACAGTGTACTTAAGACTGAATGATAATTATGATAAGATCATTATACAAAGAACAATATTACTACTAATAATAATTATATTGATAATAACGTTAACAATAATAGTGGTTATTTATATACTGCGCTACACACATACATCCACCATAGCGCCTATAATGTAAATATATATATAGATATATTCTATTGTTCGAATAATTGAGCATGGTACATTGTTTAAATGTAGAAACAGGATTCGTAGAAATGGTAATGGTGATGACGATGATAGCGTGGTCTTTTGTACAGCGCTCATGTCTGCTACACTTTCTATACTCCTGGCGCTAAAATATTATATATTTGGTATTTTAATAAACAGAAATAGACGTCCATCTGAGAGGTAGTTGGTTAGCAATTTTTACATTAAGCTATAAATTTATTTCTCTTGCCGATCTGTTTCGTTTATTTTTGTGTTTGCCTCATTGAAATTAATGGAGGTCAAAAATAAACTCAATGCAGACTAAATTACACAGGCTGTGAACAGAAGTGCTCAAATTTCACCGCATCTGTTCTCTCTCGTGTCTAAATTGAGAAAGTACTTCTGTGTTCGATATCTTTGTGTGTACAATTACACTCAACATCTAGACACGCCATGGTTGCCATGGTAACAAATGAAGTGCGAATGACACTTCCGTTGTTGAGCTGAAGTAGTTTGGTGATAGAGAAGCATGCTCCTTGCCCATCCGTGCATGAATGCAAAAAGTTCCTGCACTTATGTATTAAGTGGTGGTTTCATTCATTTATCTTGACTTATTTCAAGCTTTTAATCATACGTCGTCGACTAGTTTTTTGTTTCCATTAAATGTACAACAAACGTCAATGTTCCTCTTAGTCATTTACATCTCACTATCAAATACAGGTACATACGTATACTGTCTAACTATGTGTGACAAGAACACTCACCGCAATGCCATAAAGGTATTGTATCTCCAGGGTAATACCAAGGCATAAATAGTATTTAATCCTACCAAATCGTTCATCGGGATGATATAGCAATATCACAGTGATCTCGATGAGCATCAAAAGGGGCAACAACAGGCAAACAGTATTTTTTGAAATGATATAGCAATATCACAGTGATCTCGATGAGCATCAAAAGGGGCAACAACAGGCAAACAGTATATTGATCAGAACAGAACCCCCCCCCCGCCCCCTCCCCCGATTTGACAATCCTCTACCCCTTTTGGCAATTCTAAATATGAGCTTTGATAAGACATAATGATGATAGGGGGGGTGGTTACAACCAGGGGAGGAAGGGAACGACTTAACAGGGAAGATAGCAACCAAACAAGGGAAATGTTTGTGACATACAATTTTTTGAAATGTTATATCACACAGAATCTTCGAAGTATGCATTCGAATTATGCATGGTTGAGAACAGCTATTGATCGCATGCGGATACCAAAGGGTCTGTTTCCAAGACTGCGGTATTTTTTTAATAAAGCGTGGAGGAGAGAGGGCGACCATTTAGATGATGTACCTGTCATTTACAGAAAGCCTCTAAAGATATCGCCACTTGTCCAATCAAGTAATTAGTGAGAATGCGACAGAACCCATCGCTATACCAAACTGTCAATTGTGAGAAAGAGATTGAGTAGCTGTCATTTTGATTCTGTTTCCTTCCTTTATTTCGCGCCGGAATATGAAACGAAATAATGTTTTGCCTGTATATTAAAATAAGCCAGTTCGTAAATAGCTTCGGAACGCATGACCCCCGAATATCCACATTAGGGACTTTTAGATTTGCGTGGACTGATACGTGTGACGTCCATCCAAGGCAGTGCATTAAAAAGGACATCGTTCGTAGCAATCCACGTTGTCGTTGTGCAAATCTAAGAGTCCCTAATATCTTTTACACGATGGATACGTCCCACTTGTGCATTTTAGAATAGTCACAGCGGAAGTGATGGAGGTGCTTCATGAATACCTTTGTTTTCCTCTTGAGAAGAATACTTCCACCTGTGTATCAGATAAATGTACTGTCGGTGCATTAATGAATACTGATGACATAACTTTCATGAGCACGATACCAGTATTCGTTTCGATGGGTTTTACAATTTGAAAACAATTGACTTTATCTGCAAATGTGCAGAAAGTATTTACGAACTGGCTTATCCACATTATCCTCATAAATTCTAGGATTTTAGGTTCCCACTAAAAGACGCAAAAGGATTCTAAGTATTCATGTGAGACTTCGCACTTAGAAAAAAAACATGACGATGTATGCTATAGACGATCGTTATTTTAATTGTGCATTTTCAAGGCATTATCATAGCATTGTGAATGTCACACAGCATAGCAAAATAGTTGTGTTGGTTTTTAAGATAAAAATGTGCATGCACGTCAAGTTAATGGTAAGTAGATATATTCAACAGGGATATTCCGCAAGAATTAAATGTAATGATAACATTGAACATTTAGCAATTTGGCAACTGGTTACCAGATTGGAAAACGGAATTAGAATAAAAATTTGAAAACAGATTGGAAAACAGAAAGAAGAAAAAATTACGAGTCAATTTGAAAATGATAAAGAGGCATTGAGGAATAGTTAATAGACCAATCCAAACTGCTATCACTAATCAAATAAAAAAAAATATTTAAAGATAAAGTGAGTCCCCTTGATATTACTGGCTATTTTTGGCATCATATATTTTTTGATTTTTACTTTTCTTAGTTTTCTTGACTTCAGTGATAAAGGTGTTTCATTTTGAGTAACATACGATTAATTTTGAACCCATCTTCTTCTCTTTACAACCTCTTTCGGAAATGCCTTCATTTGACCCTTGCCACCAAAATGTTAGAATATGTCGACATTTTGTTTTGTATTTCTTGTTGAAAAGGTTTTCTTTGAAACCATGAATAGGCAAATTAAGTACAAAAGTCCTAAAACCTTATCAATTGCTTGATCATGATGAGCAGTTGATGACAAATTCTATTTTCCACTCTGAAAACAAGTTGGCTAATGTCGTCTCACACCTTCCAATTAAATGTTCAAACGGCCTCTTTATTCTATTGATTAAACTTACCAAGTACGGATTTAGGCACACGGATTGCCATTGGAGTGGGTCTTCTAACCAAAGGCTTTGATGGGTTCTGCGTGGATCTCACTTGCCATGGATCACTACTACTTGATGATCCTGCTATTGGATGCTTCACGTACTCCTGTGTCTTGGACCGATCGCCATTGGATATCTCCGTTACATCTCCCCATGAGAGAATGGGGTGAGGGCGTCCTTTAACACCCGAAGGCATCAACACTGAGTCTTCAGAAGCACTTGCAGAATGAGATAGGTTTGGGTTGAGACCGTTCAGAGACAGCGCCTTCAAAGACTGGACTCCTTGCGTTATCTCCTGGTCTGACGATGCAGCAGCCGGCATGCTGCCACTATCCCTTGAACATGGTTCTTGTGACGTCATGGTTTTACTTGAATAACAGGCACTTGCTATAGGGAAGTCTGGCGTGATTTTGTGTGATCCCTCACGATCTTGGGACTCCCCCCGATGAGGAGGCTCGGTTTCGCTTTTTAGTATACAATCGCAGTTCTGTGTTTGATTTTGTCCACCCCTGAGTTCTAATGCCATTTGATTGATAGCCCTCTTCTGCAGTCTACAACAGCCACTTTTCCCTGCCCTTTAGAGTAAGTGATACTGTCAAGCGTTCATGACGTTTCACGTAGCCGGATAAGTACGCTGCTGATTCTCAAGTGTTAATTTCAGAGAAGTTTGCCGAACCCTGTCGTTAAATTGAGCAGTAACCCGTGCCAAATATCCACAGTTTTTAAGACACGACGTGAACGAACACTTGAAGATGTAATTAAGGGTGCTCCGGTCTCGGTGAAACCTGTAGAGTAAGATATAAGGAACAAGTGAGAAAGGTTAGCTTCATTGAAATACATTACTATGTATGTATAATATCTGCATTTAATGCAATTTCCTCTCTGAATACACGGAAGAATACAGGCCCACAGGAATACAAGTGCCCGTTCGTATATTATGTGTACATTGCCAAAGTAAATCTTGGATACCCCAATAACCCTCATGGTTGGGAAAACCAAAATGATGGGTTAATTTTGCCCAAGCCTTCAGAAAGTTTTGTCGGATTTTTTTTTTAAATCATCCTCATCGGACAAAATTTGGCCAAGTTATTTAATTACCCCCTTTTGTGTTTTTTCAAAGAGTATTTTTTGGATTAATCTTCCCAAACCTTCGAAAAAGAAGTTTAAGCTAGATAATTTGTCCATTAGTATTGTTGTGTGTCCAAGGTGTATTCAAGAAAACGGAGAGGTATTGTTAAATAGTTATTACCATATAATTGAATATGTTTACAATGAATCACGTCACATAAAGTGAAACTGATTAATGCAATATAAACATAACCACTTATGTAAGTAAAACTTTCCTCTTCTTAAATCTAATTAAAAAGCACTTGTTTCCTTGATCGTGAATTGCATATAATCAATAGTACTTAAACCCTTGACTTGATTAAGAGTAGGTATATTTTATACAGCATGATTTATATGAAGCATGATATTTCTATGATATCCAGACCGATCAGAAATACTGGTCAGCGATCTTCTCTGGAAAACAGATTTTCAGTACAGCGACGTTATAGGGCGTATTTCTTTTGCCAATTAGAATAGAATTCGAATACCGAGAAAGTGGGTCAAGTCATTTTCCTGTTACCCATCCGGTCGATGACTTTTCTGTGTCTGAACCTCCGAGTCCAATACCACCCCTCCCACGTGCGGGAAATAGGAACATTTAATGAATTCTGCGTGACTTCTTTTCTCAACCGATTATCAATCGCTTTTAATTAATGATTAGATCTATGCTTGCATCCTCTGATTTAAATGTATTGCCAGGAACCAGGAATTGATTTTATGAGGTGCCTATATATTATGAACATGTTCTTGAGAGCAGTTTTAAAAATAGATTCCACGATACCTTAATCAATTTGTAATTGCGAATGAGACGGAAATTGTAAATAAATAGCAAGTCTAATATTCTAATGAAATAAATTTATGGCACAGGAATCTGGGTAATTTGAAATAATTTTTAGGCAATGGTGTCACTGTTTCGCACGCAAAAAAATTATTATTTAAAATTCCAAGATACTGTTCTTTTCGTGATCATATAACAAAAAGCCGGCAAACTTAAAATCTCATATGTCAAAGTTAATAGATAAACATGATGATATGCTTTTTGTTTTATTAAATCTATCTCACTTGGAACGGGCTTCATTTATATGGACAGAATGATATATATATATATATAAAAGCAGTATAATACAAAATGTTTAGAGAATCTTAATAAAGCAAAGACGCACAATTTAAATGTGTTGATTCAATTTTTCCAGATTGTATGAAACCTCATTGATTTTTGTTTTATTGTTTTGTCAAAATGCCAATTCAAGGTGATCCAGATTTCATGTAACGTGTGTTATCAACAGTAATCTATAGCATCTATAGCACGATAAATATTTGAAGTAGACGAGAATTCAGGGAAAAACTCGTAACTCGTTCATTTTAAGTGGAGCAGTTGTGACACTGATGAAGCACCAAAACTTAAACTTTTTTTAAAATCTGGCTTGGTTCGCGTAGATAATATTGCGTCTTGCATTTTCCTGCTACCTCTATAATCATTTCTACAATAGAATTTCACTTCAACTAATTCACATTCCAGTGAAGATTACCAAATAATGTCCTATCCATTTCAACACGTATATACCTCCCCCAACACAGCCTTTATCATCTCGAACGATAAATGTTTTATAGATCTGGTAACATGTTGACTGACCTAGGCAAACATCTACAGAGTAAATGTTGAACCAACGAGGACAAGACAAACAAAAAAGGACCGATTTTCGCAGTTTGTTGCGTTAACCTCGTCTCCTTGACGAGGGGAGAATTGACTCAAAGCAAACTCCCAACTGGAATCTCTTCTTTAATTGTCTTGTAAACAGAGTAGACTCATACAATCTTTTGTACGTACAGTAGCTGCGTTTCAGCATGGTCTCGGCGTGTTAACAACAGAGCATCTAAAAATGCATATCTTCACGATTAAGTTGGTATTTCGTTATGTCTGTCCTTCACTGTCCCACTGACAACCACACCCCCTACCTTGTCCAGAACTAAATATTGTATGACAGTGAACCAGATAACATAGCTTTATTTGTTTCATTTTGACGGGGAACATAAAGCTGGCTACACAGAAGACGCCAAAATATATCAGAATGCGATTTCAATAAATCCTCGAAACTACTTATCGATGTTCACAGTTAGAAAGAAATTTAGAATTAACTAAGTGTAATATTATGTCTTTGATTCAAAATTCACTTATATTCTTAACGGATATAAATGTACACTAGACCCCTTTCAAATGACGATGGACGAGTTTCGAAAGCTACTTCGAACGAAAAGCAACTAGGGATAGTTTTCGTCACCGCAAACTTGATGAAAGTAGAACTGAGCTCACCTATCAATCAACCACAATGACCTTTCATCTCATTTGCCAAAGATGTCTACAATGTTGATGAATAAAAAGCTGGAGTGCATAATGAACGCGGGGGCTTGTGGGTGTATAATTATGTAAGTGTGCTTGGAGAGAACACGGGAGAGGGGCTGGGTGTTGTTGAGAGCCGCCAAATGCCTCTCGTATGCACGCCTCGTACAAGATAGCAAAATTAATGTTCTGACTGACCTATTTTCGTTTATGACACTGGTGATAAAAGGGATGAATTGGCTCGCATGGCATTGACTTTCCTCCCCTCATCGTAATGGCATTGGGTTTCTACAAGTCTACTCGAGCGTCGGTAAATCATAATTTCAGAGGGACACCTGGACGAAATGAGTTTTATTAATCCTCCCAGATTCTGCTGGGGCTACACTAATCGAATAACGTGTCCACACGATGAGATGAAGACGTGCTGATATATAGGGTAAAGCTCACTTCGGGTATACAAGAGGAGTGGTATTCTCCAAGTTAAATAATGCTTCCTTTCAGAACGGTGATGTGTTATACCGTGATACCCCTGTGAAATCGGAAAGACCCGACTTAAGACTGAAAACAGATCGAATTGTTTAAGTGTTAAAAAAAATTGATTTGTCCCGTTATTTGTTTCTTGAGAATATGAAATATTGAAGCGTACATCTCAAAGTATTCAACAAAGACCCTAATTTAACCAGTTCACCTTTCCTTCTTGAGTTACGAAAAATACAACAAACATGAAATTTACAAGGGGTATGAATAATTCAGCTGTTTACTGTAAATGCCTATTGCGTTTGGGAAAATCCCAAATGTAGCTGGAAGGACGAACATGCATAGACTTCCATGAAAAAAAGACCTAATTATCATCCTTTCAAACTGATGAACTGCACACTAGATAATTGGCTCTCTGCATTATTGATGCATTGTACACACTGGCTATGGGTGATCTATCACCTGCGTATAATTATGGCAAAACCAGTAACAGTCAAGGTTGTGCAAGGGGACCAAGATAAGAAAGGGGTGGAGGACCATCGAGGTGAACAGAAATGAATTCATGTTTTGGAAAGTGATTGATTTCCCTCTAAAAATAATCAACATCCTTCACATTTTTTTGTAATTGTGTATCTAAAAATTTAAATGGGGCCAAGAAGAAAGGGAATGATGTTCAAAACTTTGAAACGTTTTCCCCTATCTCCTAATTTGATGGCACTCGTGTAGTCTTTTCAGACATATTACATATTTAAATTTTAATGACGGCTAGCTGATCTTGTGCTTTACTAATCGTGATAAAAAAATGCGTGATGTCTATTCAAGTCATTAACCTAAATTTGCCACTCCTTACCCAGGAGAGTATAGGACGATGAAAGCCTTTGTGTTCGTAATTTCCATATGCCCTCCCGGTGACCAGATTGGTAGGAATACGCCGCAGGGAGTGGAGATGGTGCACATTGTGCATGAATGAAACCGATGACCGGGGTTATAGTATATGTACACCGCTTACATATATTTTGTATTAATTAATAGCTATACAAATCCAGATATTATTATTATCATTATTAATATTACAATTATTATTATTATTATTATTTTTTAATAAGATCGCGTGCATTAAACTACAGTAGATCGCAATGCATGTACATCTCCAGAGAAAAAAATCCAAATGATTAGAGGGAGATAGAGGGAGGGGTGGAGAGAGTCAAATCATTATAATACTGACTTTTCAGAGAGACACATTGCATTCTCGTTTGTGCGCAATGTAAATCATAACATATTTTGCACAAATTTAGAAATACGAATAGGATAGTCCTTAATTTTAAAGCCCGTCTGCACTAGTTTGGCCAGGAGGGATGAGACCTCCCTGCATGGTCACTGACAGGTGGTTCTCATCAAATCAGCCCTCAATTAACATAAGAAAAAGAGGATCATGGGGGACCAACAGGCACCGATTAGGCATTGTTTGCTATATAGAGGGCGCAAGTAGCTATAAGTAGTGGAGTGGGGATTTAAGTTCTCTCAAGACCGACTTCCCAAATCCCTTGTAATGAAATACTTCACAGGTAGACGATGAATCACAGTCCACAGTGTGTGTTGAGTATCTTCCCTTAACCAAGGGGGATGGAAGATGAGACAATGATATTAATGAATAAATGATGGGCAATCTATTATGATACTTTGTGAGATAATCATGTGTGAAGCTACATGATGCATTCCCTCGACGTCATTCAATCTACAGTCACTTAGGCTTCCATACAGAACTGATGCGCATTCCTCTTTGGACACAAAATTTATAGAAATATACAGGTAGATCAAAACAGTTTTATGTTGATGTTCGGACGTCCTTTCTGCCAAAAGTTG